GTAGTTAAGGCTTACCTTCCATATAAAGTTGGTTTAATTCAAAAATATTGATATTTGACCAATTTATGGGCCAAAATCGATCAAATTTGGTGCGTATGCCCAAATATGGTCATTTGGTTTTTTGCTCATAACTCAGTCATTTTTTGTCCAATCTTGATGAAAATTCATATACGAGTTCAGGGGACCACTAGCTACAAGTAGAGTAAATCTGGATTTTGGGCATGTTCAGGGTATTCGGCTAAATTGGGCCTAATTTGGACCAAATATGGGCGTGGCTGCCCCGCGGGCACCGTTTGGCGGTTGGGGTCCGGGACCCCCTCAAAAGTTCGGTCACTGGTCATAGTTTGTTGGTCAACTGCTATCTCGAAACCAAGTTTCACAAAAAAATCAGGTATAATTGCTTTTGCATCGTTTTATTGAGCTCGCTTATCAGCAAATTTATCTACTGAGCAAGCGTTACCATCGGCTATCTCTGTGTGTATACATATTGTCTTGTATATACATTACACCATGGTTACGAGTTCTGAGAATGATGGCAGTGAAAAAGTTAAGATTATCATCGGGAAGCTTATTGATAAAGCTGAAATGCACGTTAGACCGGTTATTTCTGCTTTTGATAATTCTCAGTCGTGTGCAACTAACACTAAGCGTTTTGATCGGTTTTCTCTCCCAATACTTGAAAATTGTGCGGAATTCTTAAGAATTTCTCTCGCTGACAAGGACAATTTCAAGATATTTACGAAGAAATCGCTTATGGATCGTCTTTATTGTGGTTTCCAAGCTTTGATGCCCTCTAAATGTGCGGAATGTAGTGAGGACTATGTGATCGACCACGAGCCAGATGATGCACCATGTTTCACATGTTTTCGGTGTTTTAAAGGCTCGCACAGCTGTGAACGGAACACGCTACTTCATCAGACCATATCAGCGATGAACACTCCTTCCGGCTTTGTGTGGCTATGTGACACATGTTACAGTGCTGTTGATCCGATCGAGTCCAGAAAGACAAGATCACGACATACATCTGCTTCAGATAATAATAGGAGTGGAGCTCTGTCCAGCAATTCTATTGGAGGAGATTTTTCTAATATCATCACCCCCTCTGGAGATGGGATGTCCTCTACCCACAACCCCCAACAGCAATTCGTGTCTTTCTCTGAAGAGAATTCAAATCAAGGAACTGAAAGAATCTGCCAGAAGTTCTTGAGCTGGAACTGTCCGCACGGAATTAGCGGAAAGAAGACAGTGAATGGAAATTGTTGTCCCCGAGTTTGTAATCAGTATAGAGTGTCTGGGTTCACTGGTAAGAAGGGATGTATAAAGGGTAAAAACTGTGCATTTTTTCACCCTGATATTTGCAAGGTAGCACTCGAAAGAGGATCGTGTCTCAACAAAGAATGTTCCAAGTTTCACCCCCTTTCTTGTAGAAAGAAGAAAAAGGAAGAACCCACTCGGGACAGGAATCAGAGATCCGGTATGCAGACAACCTCTAACTATAAGTCTAACTCTTCTTCTAGTTCGAGTGTTTTTTTAGAGCTACGAGACTTGGTCACGGGGATGGCGGCCAAGTTAGCAGCTCTAGAAAAGAAAATGGATCAAAGTGCCCCGTCCTCAGTGTGCCACCCTCCAGCACAACCAGCGGGACAAATGTTCTACCCATCCCAAGCAGCTCCTGCGATGATGAGTTTAGGTGTTCCCAGGCTACCCCAGCACCAGACTCCCTTCTCTCTTCCCTCCTACTTCTAAACGCTAAGAGCTTATACCCCTCCGCTAAGAGTGCCGGGAGGTGGAAGCTGCAGGACCTTATAGGTCACTTAGACGAGAAGCGACAGGACGGACACCTGTTTCCTTTTATCGCCATCACAGAATCCTGGCTGAAATCATACCACCATGATGCTCAGTTAGAGGTTCCAGGATACTCTCTATCTCGGTGTGATCGCAGTAAAAGGAGTGGTGGGGGAGTTATGCTGTACTCTCTATCTTCTATCCCAGTCTCCCTATCAGAGAGTTTTGATGATAGTGTTTGTCAGGGAATCATCAATCTCTACCCCTCTGCTAAACTCTGTGTTGCAGTGGCGTACAGACCTCCTGATGCAACGGCCGCCAGTTTCTCAAAACTATTGGACAGCTTTACTCATGTTATTGAGAACTGCACTCCGAGCGACTACGACCTCTTCGTAACAGGGGACTTTAACTTACCACAGGTGGATTGGGAAACGCTCCAAATCCGAAGTGGGGGGACAATGGACATCAGACTCCAATCTCTCCGCTCAGTGTTTGATACGGTTTATGTCCACTCACCTGCTCAGCCAGATGGTTACAACCCCGACCAGAGGGAGCAATGTGCTGGATCTGATAATGTGCAACAACGATCGGCTGGTGTACGATGTAAGCTGCGAAGCTACAGAAATGTCCGATCACAACATGGTTAATGCTCTCCTCTCTTTTAACCCTGCATTACTCGAGGAAGCTAAGCTCACGTATCTGGACGAAATGAACTTTCGGGCTCTAGATTTCAACCATACTGATTTCGAGGAACTTAACGAAGCTCTCAGTAGTGTGGACTGGAAACAGGTTCGAGGTTCCACTACCTTTGAAGAATTTCCGATAAATTTTACACGTAAAGTGCTAAACGTTTGTCTTGAAAATGTCCCAAGGAAACGACCTCCTAAAGGAAAACCGAATGTCTACAACTCGCTGAGAAGAAAGAAGTCCAGACTCAAGAATCGTATTTCAGCGGCAGAGTGCAGCGGCGACCATGCTCGAATGAAACAGCTTGAAGACGAAATCGGATTAATCAGCTTTGAGATTAAGGAAGCTATAGTACACCATTTTGATGAGGGCGAAAGGAGAGCGGTGAATAAGATAAAAGCTAATCCGAAATACTTTTATTCCTACGCGAAATCGTTCTCCAAAGTGAAGCAAAACATCACAACTCTTCTTAATAGTGAAAATAAGCTTGTCACAGAGAAGAAGGATCTTGCGAACATCCTCCAGACTCAGTTTTGCTCAGTCTATAGTGACCCTAACTGCCCCTACAAATCCATGCCTGAATTTGCGGTGCCGCCCATTACTTGTCGAGATAAAGAACTTGTCCTCACTCTCGACCACGTAAAGGACGCTATATCGGAACTAAAGCTTGACTCTGCACCGGGACCCGATGGCATCCCCTCCATCCTGCTGAAAAGATGTACCTCTAGCTTAGCGGTCCCTATCTATCTCATCTGGACAGAATCTATGTCGTCTGGCATCGTCCCAAGCTACTACAAGACCGGATATGTCACTCCTCTCTTCAAGAAAGGTAGCAGATGTGAAGCTGTAAACTATAGACCTGTGACGCTGACTTCCCACGTAGTGAAGGTGTATGAAAGGGTCGTCAGAAAGCACATGACCCAGTACCTTGATTCTAATGATCTGTTATCGGACAAACAGCACGGACTCAGGTCAAATAGAAGCTGTCTCACCCAAATGTTGGAGCACTTTGACGACATATACGAAGGTTTCACGAAAGGAAATGACACCGATTCAATCTACCTCGACTTTGCAAAAGCTTTTGACAAAGTCGACTTGGATCTACTTCTTCTAAAGATGAAAAGATATGGATTCCAGGAGAAGCTCTTAAGATGGATTCAATCCTTCTTAACTGGTCGTGACCAAGTTGTTGTCGTGAACGGTGTGCATTCAGACAGCGCTAAGGTGTTAAGCGGGGTGCCTCAGGGCAGTGTTTTAGGTCCACTGTTCTTCCTGTTGTTCATCAACGACCTAGAGGACGTGGTTAAGCATTCTAGAGTGAGCTTCTTCGCAGACGATACTAGGGTTTCCAAGCAAATTAGCTGCCTTGAAGACTGCCAACTTCTTCAGACTGATCTTTACAGCATTATAGATTGGTCCCTATGTAACAACATGAAGTTACACGAGCAGAAGTTCGAACTCCTAAACCACCTACACAATAAGAGGAACTTATCAAGTGAACTTCCCTTCTACGTAGAAAGTCTCCTCTACAAGGTTTCTAGTGACGTCACTCTTTATCCCGTAGAAAACGTTAGAGACCTTGGTGTAAAAGTGTCAAGCGATCTGAGCTGGTCTAAACACGTCGGGGATATGGTCACCAACGCTAGAAGTAAACTGTCTTGGGTGTTCAGTGTGTTTAAGACACGGGATAAAGTGGTTATGATGACCCTCTACAAGTCTCTAGTCAGAAGCTTATTGGAGTACTGTTGTCCGCTGTGGGACCCAGTCAAGACGACAGAGATTCAGCTTTTGGAGGGGGTCCAGCGTACCTTTACAAGCCGCATTGGTGGTCTATACAGCTTAAACTACTGGGAGAGGCTAGCTCATTTGAAGTTAATGTCCCTGCAGCGGAGAAGGGAGAGATACATCATCTTGATGATGTGGAAAACGTACCATAACGTTGTTCCAAATAGCTGTAGCATCGAGTTTGTGGAAACATCCAGATATGGCACTAAAGCAGTTGTTCCTTCTCTATCAAAGTCGAGTTCGATGAGAAACCAGACACTGTACGATAGCTCGTTCGCAGTAAAAGGATCCAAACTGTGGAATAAGGTGCCGAGTGAAGTGAAAGCCGAGAAAACGTTTGCCAGCTTCAAAGTCAGTTTGTCGAAGTTTCTTGCTTTGATACCGGATAACCCTCCGGTTTCCGGTTATACGTGCAGCTGGTCGAATTCCTTGGTAGACTACACGCCATCACGGTGGTCAGACATCTGATGACCCTTCCTGCTACGAGGATAAACCTTACCAAGTTACCAAGTTAGTTAGAACCCCCCCCCCCCCCCCCCTTAACTGCTTCGGCTCCTGCAGCAATCATTTCTGCAGGATTCTGTCCGTCGGGTGTAGAGATTAAATAACTTCTTTTCCGCTATGTACTCCATTTTGTTGGTTTCTTTGAATCTGATGATACCTAGACTCAAGAGGAACATGGCCGTACCACGACCACTAGATGGTACATACCAACAATTACATGATATTCGTTATAATTTCTTAGATAAAGTCAAAGTTAAAGAAGCATTTTCGTTGCGTTTAATCTTCAAAAAGATCGATAATTTTGCAAAGTCCCAGCAAATCTATAAAACAAATCCAATCAGTCTAAAAATTGTGCAAAAAGAAAAGCAAAATATTCCGAACTAATGTTAACGGGGGCATATATTGTGCACCATACTATTGGCGACAGCTGTATCGCAGTGATGTAAAATATTCGAATACCTTTATGAATACCAGAGTGTATTTAGGATAATAGGTACAGTGCCGACTGGCTATAAAGCAGCTGTTACGGTAACAGCCCTCTAACAGTCGGCTAATAGCTATGCCTATGTCGAAACGCGAGTGAGCGTAGGTTATTGGCTGACTGTTAGAGGGCCGGTCGTAGTGATCACAAGGTTACTAATAATAACCTATTTTGCAGAACCTGTTTCAAACCATTCAAAAACCACTTTGTTGAGCGAGTACTACAAATCAAATTCCAATAACAAAGCCCTCGATCAATATCCAATGGCATCCCTCAAGCCAAATTATTGACGAAAATCTGTCCCAATTTTTCAAGGGAGAATTCCCTTTAAATCAAGCGATAAATGTAAATTAATCTAAATGTTCGTTCATAACCTTGACAACTTGAAACGGAGGTACATTGAGTCAGAGCAATTCTTTCTCTTCGGTACCCAGAAAACATAACACCTAACGTCTACTATAACCCTGCATCACGGTTATTTAACATTTCCCATATACATGATAACCAGAAAACTATACGACAATATAAGATTCTGGATACTCAGAGGTCATTGACAAAAAAGTATTTTCAGCGTTATTCTCAGTTTGTAGCAGTGGGTAACTGTCCAGACGTCCAGTCTTCCTTAAGCCAGATACTGGTACACGTCCTTTTGGTTGCTGTGTCTCTCTAGATACTGCTTGTCTATCAGTACCTCAACACACTTCTTTATCATTGCCACACTCGGTGTGAACCGGTCTTTAGACAGATTTATCACCTGAAAATGGGTAAAATAAGTAACTCTGATGACATCTAAGTGAGAAGAGATACTAAACAAGACCATGGTCCATTTCGCAATTTATATTTATGTACGTAGTATCCAATCAACTAACGATACAAAGTGGTAAGTTATAAAATTGGTAACCAAGAAACTATATAAATTGCGTACCTGTTGAATTAATTCGTTATGGCCGAGCTGTTTGCGACTCTTCATAGTTCTTACAATAGCTGCCTGGATGTACAATCTCCTGTCTTCTTCTACAGATTGGTGCGTCTGTTCCACCTGAGTCGTCGTGGTTAAAGTACATATTTTTAAGTTTTAACGTTATAGCTAGTATTTTAATGATGGCAGCAAGTAATCTCATAGTTACCCTCCTAAATCCCAGCCCCTAAATGATAAAAAGCTGCACACCACTTCCGATTTCCTAATTCCCACTTCCCACAATACCTCTTTCTCAGCGTGATCCTTGACGGTACTGGTGGGGAGCTTGAACTTGCTCTTCTTGTTAACATAATCAGTGTTTATCGTGTAGTTATCTGAAATACACGTTAAGTAACACTCACGATGCAATGGATCAAAGAAACTTCGAGAAACCCGATTAATAAAACAAATCTTGTGAGATGCATTCTATTTGTGTCCTTTTGATTGCATACAGTGTAAATCTGTATGGAACTCACCTGACTCTAGCTTTATAAGCTTGCTATCCACTAACGTAGTCAACGTTTTCTCCAACTCAGGCTTGTCGAGCCCTAAACTTTCAGTTATCTCTGAAAAAGTAATCAAAACATCAGTTTATAAACTCCAACCATAACAGAAAATAAAGACGGAAGGACTGTGAGCAGGGGTGTAGGAATGATTTTCTTCATGGGGCCAAATTCTAAATATTTTTTGGCGCTTCGCGCCACAGCCTAAATTTTTTGGCGCTTCGCGCCAAAGCCTGAATTTCGAGGTTAAGGACAAAAGGAAATTGCAGCATGTGCGGTATCGTGATTTTTCACGTTTGCCGCGACAAGTCACGATTTTTCAGATCCTGGCCTCACGAAAAATCGCGATTTTTTCAGTTCTCCGCGTCAAATTGCGAATTTTCCTTTAAATCTGAGAACCAAATTCGTGTATTTTCCTTCAAATCTGTGGGCCAAATATTACGTTTTCTATAATTAGTATATGAAACCAATCAGTATTACATCCACAACCTTCCGAATGTAGGTACGGACTTCAAAAAACCGAAAAAAATATTTTCGGCTCAGAATGATCAGGGTAGCATAAAACATGAACAAAAGTAATTTCCAGAAAAACTTTTAAAAATTTTGACTTAGAAAATTTTCGGTCCGAGTCATTCACGATACGTACCTCTAAAAGCAGAGCTCCTGCTTCCGAGCTCGTATTACGAAGGGGAGGCCTGCCTTCCGAGATCGCATCACAAAGGGGAACCCTCGAGTCCAAAATCGTATGTCGAACTTCGAAAACCGAAAAAAATATTTTTGGCTCATAATGATCAGGGTAGCATGAAACATGAACAAAAGTAGTTTTCAACTTCAAGAAAACTTTGAAAATTTTTGACTTAGAAAATTTTCGGTCCGAGTCATTCACGATACGTACCTCTAAAAGCAGAGCTCCCGCTTCCGAGCTCGTATTACGAAGGGGAGGCCTGCCTTCCGAGATCGCATCACAAAGGGGAACCCACGAGTTTAAAATCGTATATCGAAGGGTAGGTGCGGACTTCGAAAACCGAAAAAAATATTTTCGGCTCAGAATGATCAGGGTAGCATGAAACATGAACAGAAGTAGTTTTCAAGAAAACTTTGAAAATTTTTGACTTAGAAAATTTTCGGTCCGAGTCATTCACGATACGTACCTCTGAAAGCAGAGCTCCCGCTTCCGAGCTCGTATTGCGAAGGGGAGGCCTGCCTTCCGAGATCGCATCACAAAGGGGAACCCTCGAGTCCAAAATCGTATGTCGAACTTCGAAAACCGAAAAAAATATTTTCGGCTCATAATGATCAGGGTAGCATGAAACATGAACAAAAGTAGTTTTCAAGAAAACTTTGAAAATTTTTGACTTTAAAATTTTCGGGGAAAAAAAATTTTTAAAAGCCTAAATTAAAAAGTTGGCCCTTTTTGGCCCCTTGCCCAAATTTCATGGGGGGGGGGGGGGGGGGGGGGGGGGGCGATGCCCCCCCCCCCCCGCTTCCTACACCCCTGACTGTGAGTTGTAACAGAGCGATAATTAAACCTTAACAAATATAACTACCTGCTTTGGTAGAAGAGTCCTTGTCGTTGAAGAGAAGTAAGACTGCTAGCTGGTGTACTGACATGGTGATGGTGTATTGTCGTGGAGTATGGTTGAGAACTACTGTTCCGTTAGAAAGAGGAAACACAAACCTCAGTCTTCTTCCGCTATACTGAAAAAGTAGGGTTGCTGTGGAGAGGAAATATTCTGTGTTTAACTTTGCATATTTTAATATTATTCAAACCCTTAAAGATTGATTTTCATAATTCTTAGTATCTCAATAATGGCATGAACACAAAAGTATATAGTAATCTGAACTGTTCGTCCATTTTAGATCTTTGAATACATTAAGTTGGTATTCTTAGTAAGAAGTAAAATCGCGCGGATTATTTAGAAGTTAAATGAGTTGAAGGGAGTTAAAAATTATCACGTTAAAATGAGATTAAGCGAGCTTATATAGCACACGGACATTGAACAATGAACATCTGGCGTTAACAACACATGTGGCACCTTTCTTAAGTATAAAGCGACTTTTCGGACTGAATAAAATTACTTTGTAGCCATGTTGTTTCTAACAGTTTTTGTTTTAGTTCAAAGCAGCCACTGCTTATTATCAAAGCAAGATATTATCCGCGAGAATTTGGCAAAAATCCAGCAATGGAATCAGGAAGCAGGATCCAGCACCATGTTTGCAGGTAATCAGTATCTAGCCTACACCGAGGAGGAAACAGAAAAAATGCTCGGAATTCAGGAGATAGAAGTGAAGTTCCCACCACGAACTGTGAAAATTGAGAGTAAATTGGAACAAGGTACTCCGTCTTCATTTGACTGGAGATGGTTTGATGCAGTCACTTCCACTCGGTTCAGTTCTGTCCAGAGTCCATTCCTTGAGGCTGCTGTTAACACTATTGAGTCAGCTTACTTCAGGTCGGTAGTGTAAAATTTCATTCTCACATTTTTTACATAAAATAGCATTACAAAACAGCGCTAAGCAGAATAATCAATATTAATTCTCAACATTACAAAAAGCTGGTTATAATACTCTACACAGGCTCACATATTGCTGTGTTACAGGGCATCAGGAACGTTAGTAACATTCTCCGCTCTAGAGATCGAGCAATGCTCAGAAGACAGTCCTCTCACAGACCCACTAGCCGCGTTCAAATACATTGCTAAACACAAGAGACTAGGCAGCTTATCAGGATATGAGGCACCAAGCAAGTGCGCAGTTAGATCCACTGAGAATGCCATGACAGGGGGTCTGGTTGATGGTTACTACCGTGTTGCAGCTGATGATTATGATCTGGTGAACTCAATGATGAGGTCAGTTCATCATGCATTTGCGATCAGGCAACAGCAGAGATATTAACTTGCATTTTTAATATTTAATGACTCTCATCAATGAGCTGAGAACTTACCCTAGATAGCATTGCAGCTCTTTCTTCCACTTGAGACTTAAAAGAGTGACCAGAATATTACACTACTATGGAACATCTCATATTACCTAATTACCTATTCCCCTGCCCAGGTATCCAGTGCTAGCAGCAGTCAGAGTCTCACAAAAGTGGACCTTCTACAGCTCCGGAGTTCTAAGTGCAGCTAACTGTCCCTCAGGAGTCCCCAACCACGCGGTACAGATAGTAGCCTACTCGCCTACCTGGTACGCAGTCAGGAACTCGTGGGGTCCCGAGTGGGGCGAGTCAGGGTACATCCGGCTTGAAAGGGGACTGGGAGCCAACCCTTGTGGGCTTCTCAACCTTCTTATTGAACCAGAGGTGGAGTGACAGAAGTTTTAATGTGTACTTTGAAGATTTGAAAATAACTTACCTTTTTGTTGTAGAAGGTTTTGAATTTGTCAATGCAGACAGCGAGGTCGGAAGGTACGTTGAAATCTAATGTGCTTTTGTCAGCTTGTTCTTCGGGTACTCCAGCGTTAGCACTAAACGGCCAGGCGCCTGACTGGAAAATTTAACATTACAAATTAGTAATGGGATCTACATTAATTAATTAGCAAAATATTAATTTCCAGACCATAACTATAAGAAAATTGTCGGTTGTGATTTCAACTGGTTGTACTTTATCCAAAAATAAAGTATAACTTTAAAAGCATTACCTGCAGAATATTCACGCTGAAAACGACGTTAAACTTCTCGTTTTTCTGCTCCAAATGCTGATCAAATTCTTTGGTGAGGTCGTCACTGACTTTCATGTCGATGAGCATTCTTTGTAACGGTGACGTATACTCGTAACCACATCTGTCCTGTGACATGAAATTCTCAAAACTATTGTCAAAAGATAACTTATGTTCTACAAATCCTTGAATCCTTTTTTCCTTGAAAAAAGTGATCCCTCGCATAATTAACCTGCATTATAATCATATTGTACAGAAAACACAGTAAAATAAGCTTACCTTGAGCCCACTGATAGCGACTTCTTCCAACTCAATTGACACAGAAGTATTGTGTATAAGACGGTTTGCCAGCTTCTTGCTGTAAAACCTCTGGAATAAGTCCTTATCCTCAACATATTTGAAAAGGTCTATAAAGTTTCTGAGTTGGTCCTCTATCTCGGATAAAGAGCTGTTCTTGTTTCCTTTCCGCAGTATGTGATCAGCGTGGCGCACTAACTGAAACAGAAATTTAAGTTTAAAGACTTGAGAGCATAACAAAAAGGGCAAATACTTTTTTGAAGATAATGACAGCTGGTTGCACAGAAAATAAAGGCAGAATTTAAAACAATTTTTGAATAACCCAACAAACCAGTACTTAATATAATTGATAATGTAATATGTTAAACAGGTTTAGCTGTCTACCGAAAGCTAAACCTAGTGAAACAAAACACAAACTGACCAGCTCAGAAGACCGAGGATACTTCTTGGTATCCCCGGTGCTGTTAACCATCTTAGTCATGGCTCTGTTAAGAGCGTCTGTGAAGTTCTGATCACTACTGAGGTTGTTACTGACAATGTTGGTGAACTTTCTGTACACCACCAGAAGAGCGTCTACATACTCCTGGGGAGTGCAGCCCCGTGCCATCAGCTCTATTGAGTCCTTACCTGGGAGGGTGGAGGGTAAGTCTGGATACTGGGATCTAAGATTGATCAAGTTAGACGCTTTTATAACTTTGATGGGGTCAAAATTCAATTTCTCTCAATTTTTAATTGAGACTGCATTAAATGAAACGTGTAGAGTAACAACTAACAACAGCACAAAACACTAACCATTTTCAAATATATGATCGTGAAAGATATCCGCCATTTTCTTGCAGCCTTCGTTCAAACGCCGTATCAATATGTACAAGCGGGAGAGATCTGAAACATGTATTCAATTTTAAGCTTTTAAGTATATTATGAACATAATTTTAAGGCGTTAGTGCTGATCCAGTTAAGATTAACCAACAAGTCCCTTGATTCACTTTCAATCATGAATTTAAAGGAAAAAACACTTGTTGAAAATATGGGGAAAGACTAAATGCAATTCAACCGTTCATCTATCATGGGAAACAGCTTACCCTCAACATGCTCATCCTTAAGCATTATCTTGTATTCATCCAACAAGCGATCTTGTATATCAGCTATCAGCTTATTGACACACTCTTTTTTGCACTGAAAAGTAAAGTGAACTCAAATAATGCACGAACTTGGTCAGTTATGCAGCCTACCTAATTTATGCTGCATACCATCTAGGCATAATATTTTTTGTAAATACTCTTTATTATTTACGTTTAATCATAATTTCTACTCTTCGTATGACAAAGAACTTAACTGAACGATATAAATTAAAAGCCGGAGCCGTCTTAAAAATCTAAAAATAAACTGAAACTTTAATTACGGGGCTGATAGAAGTGTGATGAATGAACTTCCTGAGTCTTAGTTCCTCTTCGTCTAGTTTCTCTATAACCTGACCAAATAAAAAGATTAAATTAAACAAAATATTGAGTGGGCAATTGATCTACAATAATCAAACATATTATATTTCAGTCAAATATTCATTAAAGATAAAATGATCATCGTAAACCAATCACAAAAAGATGTTTTTAAGGTTTTCAAATTGCTAAGAAATGATAATACTAGTAATTTGTAGAACACAATAAGAAGCAAACCTTGATCATGTAGTTGCTAACATCGTTCTGCTCGTATAATTTCTGAGCCTCTTTCTGATAGAAATTACCAGTATTCTCAAGTAATCGTTCTTCAAACAGTTCCTTGTAGAGTTGCAACTGTGAACCTAGAGGATCTTCGTGCGACTGAACCTGGACAAAATCAATGTGTCAAATAGAAGAAAAGCTAGATTTAAATTACGACTAAAGGGGAAATATTACCGTTACTGTTAATCCGACGAAAGTTAGGTAAGAGGGAAAATGGGATCACCAACTTTCTCATTTCCACCTCCTCAATACTACCTCCAGATAACACGACCTTACCTCAACAAAACACGCAGTACGCACCCTTACCTCAACAAAACATGCAGTACGCACCCTTACCTCAACGAAACATGCAGTACGCACCCTTACCTCAACAAAACATGCAGTACGCACCCTTACCTCAACAAAACACGCAGTACGTACCCTTACCTCAACAAAACATGCAGTACGCACCCTTACCTCAACAAAACAGACAGTACGCACCCTTACCTCAACAAAACAGGCAGTACGCACCCTTACCTCAACAAAACATGCAGTACGCACCCTTACCTCAACAAAACAGACAGTACGCACCCTTACCTCAACAAAACACGCAGTACGCACCCTTACCTCAACAAAACATGCAGTACGCACCCTTACCTCAACAAAACAGACAGTACGCACCCTTACCTCAACAAAACACGCAGTACGCACCCTTACCTCAACAAAACACGCAGTACGCACCCTTACCTCAACAAAACATGCAGTACGCACCCTTACCTCAACAAAACATGCAGTACGCACCCTTACCTCAACGAAGGAGTGGATGACATCTCTGAGGATGTTGGAGTAAGTGGACACGCCCCTCCTGTCACGTGTTATGTCCTGAAGTACCGCTGTAACTAGGGGCTCGTGCACCTTCTCTATCATCTCGTCCCTCCAGATGTTCATTGCTAACTGAGGGTGGGAACTGTCAGGATAAAGTGTGTATCTCTTAAATCACAATTTGACATTGAGCAATGAAACCGATATAAAGTTTAAAAATACGGGTAGTATCACTGTTTCTAATGTGATGCCAACAAAACAATATTATCAGGTTGGAATTATGTAAGTTGCGAGTTAATTTCAATTATCTGATAAAAATAAGTAAAATTCTATATTAGACTGTATCTTACATACGTCCTGGACTTTCTCGAACTTCTTAACTTTCTCTATGGAGTGCATGTAGTGATCACACCACTCGTTCTTTATTGTCCTCTTTGTGAAGTGCTGGTTCAGATGCCTACAACAATACTCTGTTAGTATAGCCCAAATATCATTAAGATAGTAAGAGGAAATGGAAACGTTACAATGCAGGATGGGAATCTGCAAAATGCTTGATGATAAATCCATACTTTAAATAAAATACTGTTAAGTGCGTTAAAACTCACATGTACAGATCGTTGAGGTAACCAGCCCCACGAAAGTAAGTTTTGTAGAGAGAGTTGTATATTGGTAAGATTCCATTGCTTGCTTCCAACACTTGTTCTCTACAACTGATTAAGGGTTTCTGTTAGGATGATCATTTGAGTAAAAACCTATAACAGACTTGTAGCACTGAGCACACCATTGAAGTTTGAACTAATTTTTCCTTCTAGGTGTAGTAAGTAAAGGTTGACCGAGAGATATTGGAGACAACTACCAAACTAAACGGTCGAATAAGTTATCAGTCCGCACGTGTCTAACACCTACCTTTGAACATGATTAATAAGATACTCCTTCAGTTTATTGTACAGAGACTCAGCTAGAGGGGTCGGCATTGCCATACACAGATAATACACGGAGGTTATCTGTTCGCACCACTCGTCTCTTTCCACTGGAGATTCTGACATCACCGCTGTTGTTACGCGCGATATGTTCTTCCATGATTCATCAAAATTAGCAGTCTTTGGTCTCCGCATCATCATTAATTCCTTTTACATAAACCTAAGGTGGAATATTATAAGCGAATATAAAATAACGTGTCATCTAAATACTGAATGGATTATTTGAAGCAGATACACATCTCAAACTCCAGTAACAGTTTCCTGTAAAACTTGTTTATTTGCAAAATTCATTCGACGCAAAACAAGCTAAAGTAATTTATTTATAAAACCAGCTATGAAGAATTTTGACTAGTTTATTTTTATCTTTTACGAAAACATTCAAGGGTAAAAATAGCTCAGGCTATGTTTTTTAAACTTTTATAAAAAAAATAATTGCGATACACGACATATCATTATCTTGGAGGATCGGGAATCCTAACAGTAATCGACCGGGATTCCCGGCGCCGTGAAATCCCGGCACCGGGGGAGCTATTTCTTCCCGGCCCCGGCCGATTTTCAATTTTTGCCGGGAATTTGGCCGGGAATTTTTGATCGAAATCGGCCTAAAACTTTCATATAAATCTTAAAATGGATTTTCAATTTTGAAAGGATGATGTCCAGAGTGCCAACTTTCAAGAGCAGTCCTTTGTTTTTGTAACCTCTGATAGTTTTAAGTCCTGAAAAGTTCTAACTTGGCCGTGGATTTATTAAATTCACGGCCCCGACCAGAAGATGAATCCGAGTTCGTGGAAACATTTGTGTCCGATTTGGAAACATGTTTTTGGCTGTATATGTCCGTAAACAGAGTTGGATTTGCCCTGGTATGATACAGTGGCTTGAGTACTAACATTTTAAGCTTCCTGTGAAATATTTCTATGATTCATAGAATGAACGAAATGATCAAAAAATGAACATTATCCTAGAATTGCCTAAAATGAGCTAAAACCGATTGGTATCGGTTGGTATTGATACCACAAGTGTCCCTGAGAAGTTTGGTGGGTCTAGCATGTCCAGAAAGGGCTCTGGGGCAATGTTTCCATTTTGGTGTCAGAGTAGTTGAGCTCGTGGAAACATTTGTGTCCGATTTGGAAACATGCCCTTGTAGCCACAATTATGCCTGGACTGACTTGGATTCGATCTGGTATGATAGAGGTACATGTGTAGTAACATTTCTAACCACTCAAAAGTGCGAAATATTGCCCTGGTTCATGGAATGAACAAAATGAACAAAAAATGAACATTATCCTAGAATTGCCTAAAATGAACTGAAACCGATTGGGATCGATTGGTATTGATACCACAAACTTGTCCCTGAGAAGTTTGGGGGTCTAGCATGTTCAGAAAGGGCTCTGGGGCAATGTTTCCATTTTGGTGTCAGAGTAGTTGAGCTCGTGGAAACATTTGTGTCCGATTTGGAAACATGCCCTTGTAGCCGCAATTAAATTATACCTGAACTGACTTGGAATCGATCTGGTATGGTAGAAGGACATGTGTACTAACATTTCCAACCACTCAAAAGTGCGAAATATTGCCCTGATTCATGGAATGAACGAAATGAACAAAAAATGAACATTATCCTAGAATCGCCTGAAATGAGCTGGAATCGAGTTGAGGGGGGGGGGGGGGGGGGGGGGGGGGGGGGGGAAGTCAGTACCCATACGTTGGGTCTTATACCACCGCCGTGTTTTATGAGAGTTGTTGCTTTGCAGATGGCATACTGAACCTACTTGTTCGAGGATTCCGTCACCAAAATTTAAAAAATTCGATTTTTGGGGGCCACACGCAATCAACATTGAATTACTTATATTCGTGTTTGTGAATATGTTAGAGACTCCGTTGTAACATATTGCCTGGGTCGTTTAATCCGGAAAATAATCTGAAAGATGGCGCGAAACGGAATTAAAATGACGAAGTTATCAAGCAATTTGTTTATCTCGTTAGCAAAATTGATTGGGTACTCAATGATTACCCAATTACGACAACCGTAATTGGGCTCTCTGCATGCTTCCCATAATGCGGGTCTAGCCTCAACCTAATCACCTGATCACATGTAATGAACAAACTTGTTATGCTTCATATGTCTTAATACTTGCAACACTACTATATAGCAAATAATTTGAGCCTGATGAAAGTGTATTACACTGAAAGCTCGCGTTTCCTCCTAAACAATAGTTTGATAAGTCTCTACTACCGGTTATCTATAAAATTATTATCTTCATATCTCGGTCATCTGAAAAGCTAGGACTCATTTTTTCAGGACAAACGTAATTTAAATGACCAAACACCATTCAATAACATTTGGTTCGATCCGGATATCAAAACTATCAAATAAATGCAAAAATGAACCTTCATTTGGTAGTAAGTCATACCAAAAGGAATTATTTCAATTGGGCACTCAGTGACTGAGCTATTAAGGCCAACGTATGGGTACTGACTTTTGCTCCCCCCCCCCCTGTATTATTCAATAGTATACAAAAACATTTAAATCCAACGTCTGGCACGTTTGGGAGTGTTTAGGGGTCCACCATCACTTCTCATTCTTTTCAACGGCATGTTTCCAAATCGGACACAAATGTTTCCACGAGCTCAACTACTCTGACACCAAAATGGAAACATTGCCCCAGAGCCCTTTCTGGACATGCTAGACCCACCAAACTTCTCAGGGACAATTGTGGTATCAATACTAATCGATCCCAATCGGTTTCAGTTCATTTTAGGCAATTCTAGGATAATGTTCATTTTTTGTTCATTTCGTTCATTCCATGAACCAGGGCAATATTTCGCACTTCTGAGTGGTTAGAAATGTTAGTACACATGTCCCTCTACCATACCAGATCGATTTCAAGTCAGTCCAGGCATAATTGCGGCTACAAGGGCATGTTTCCAAATCGGACACAAATGTTTCCACGAGCTCAACTACTCTGACACCAAAATGGAAACATTGCTCCAGAGCCCTTTCTGGACATGCTAGACCCACCAAACTTCTCAGGAACACTTGTGGTATCAATACCAATCGATCCCAATCGGTTTCAGCTCATTTTAGGCGATTCTAGGACAATGTTCATTTTTTGTTCATTTCGTTCATTCCATGAACCAGGGCAATATTTCGCACTTCTGAGTGGTTAGAAATGTTAGTACACATGTCCCTCTACCATACCAGATCAATTTCAAGTCAGTCCAGGCATAATTGCGGCTACAAGGGCATGTTTCCAAATCGGACACAAATGTTTCCACGAGCTCAACTACTCTGATACCAAAATGGAAACATTGCCCCAGAGCCCTTTCTGGACATGCTAGACCCACCAAACTTCTCAGGGATACTTGTGGTATCAATACCAATCGATCCCAATCGGTTTCAGTTCATTTTAGGCAATTCTAGGATAATGTTCATTTTTTGTTCATTTCGTTCATTCCATGAACCAGGGCAATATTTCGCACTTCTGAGTGGTTAGAAATGTTAGTACACATGTCCCTCTACCATACCAGATCGATTTCAAGTCAGTCCAGGCATAATTGTGGCTACAAAGGCATGTTTCCAAATCGGACACAAATGTTTCCACGAGCTCAACTACTCTGACACCAAAATGGAAACATTGCTCCAGAGCCCTTTCTGGACATGCTAGACCCACCAAACTTCTCAGGGACACTTGTGGTATCAATACCAATCGATCCCAATCGGTTTCAGCTCATTTTAGGCGATTCTAGGACAATGTTCATTTTTTGTTCATTTCGTTCATTCCATGAACCAGGGCAATATTTCGCACTTCTGAGTGGTTAGAAATGTTAGTACACATGTCCCTCTACCATACCAGATCGATTTCAAGTCAGTCCAGGCATAATTGTGGCTAGAAAGGCATGTTTCCAAATCGGACACAAATGTTTCCACGAGCTCAACTACTCTGACACCAAAATGGAAACATTGCCCCAGAGCCCTTTCTGGACATGCTAGACACACCAAACTTCTCAGGGATACTTGTGGTATCAATACCAATCGATCCCAATCGGTTTCAGTTCATTTTAGGCAATTCTAGGATAATGTTCATTTTTTGTTCATTTCGTTCATTCCATGAACCAGGGCAATATTTCGCACTTCTGAGTGGTTAGAAATGTTAGTACACATGTCCCTCTACCATACCAGATCGATTTCAAGTCAGTCCAGGCATAATTGTGGCTACAAAGGCATGTTTCCAAATCGGACACAAATGTTTCCACGAGCTCAACTACTCTGACACCAAAATGGAAACATTGCTCCAGAGCCCTTTCTGGACATGCTAGACCCACCAAACTTCTCAGGGACACTTGTGGTACTAATACCAATCGATCCCAATCGGTTTCAGCTCATTTTAGGCGATTCTAGGACAATGTTCATTTTTTGTTCATTTCGTTCATTCCATGAACCAGGGCAATATTTCGCACTTCTGAGTGGTTAGAAATGTTAGTACACATGTCCCTCTACCATACCAGATCGATTGTAAGTCAGTCCAGGCATAATTGTGGCTACAAAGGCATGTTTCCAAATCGGACACAATTCTGACACAATTCTGACACATGTTTCCAAAATGTTTCCAAAATCTCGGATTCATGAACTCGCCCCGACCCCGGCCAAATTCCAGAACGGCCAATTCCCGGCCCCGGCAAAATTTGGACATTCCCGGCCCCGGCCAAATCCTACCCCCGGTCGTTTACTGAATCCTAATGTAGTGGGAGGTCGGCAAAACCACCATATTTTGGTTTACTTAAAATGGAATTAAGTTGCAAATTAATATGTCGAGTAAGGTAATTAATTTATATATCAATCTAATAATCATAATATGATAATGGTATACGATTTAAAAATGGCATAGATTTTTGTACAATCTGTTAGAAACTAAAAAAAGTGTAAAAAAATTTACACTTTACATAATATACTGATATTATATAACATATTAACAATATCTAATGAAATCTGTAATAATATGCCAATGTAATCTATAAGATTTTTTAAATGGCTAAAAAGCTGAAATCTGTAACTAAACATGCAATATGCATTGACAAAAACATTAAAAAGTTCTATGAAAAGAATACTACACCTCGTTGAAAGAATTCTCTAAGGAAAAGCTCTCTAAAAAGAAGTAAGAGAAAAACTCTGGTATCATTATCAAATATCAACGCTAGTACAATGCTTGAAGAGTAATCGGACTCCATGCTAATAAGTAATATACCACTGATCTATAAATTTCAGTGGGACCATCTGTAGGCGATTGTTCGTATCGCTCGTTAAGAAATTCTGTTGTCTCACTGTATGTATGGGTAAATACTGAATAAAAGGATTTTTCTACGCCATCATAATACGTTTGAAAGTACCAATGGCGAATCGGGTACTCCTTTTTACGGATAAAATTCACCAGTTTAATCTTTCCCATTCCGTGATGGTTCAGCAATTGCAAGTTTGTGTAAAAGAAATGTGACATCATCTGTAAACATAACGTGAAAATAAGCAGCACCAATGTCAAAAAACCTCTGAGAGATTGTGTAAAACTAAGAAAAGTCAAGACTTCTAATTCAGATCTCAACTCTCCACCCTCGTTGAAGACATAGTATAGGAGTCGATAGTTAAGATGGTGCAGTAGTAATAAATAACAGAAAATACTTAAACAATACTGTTTTACTTTAACTGGGACATTTGATGATTTAGCAAAATTCAAAATACTCTGTTTAGGCAAAGTTACCTCGATAGACCATCTGTAGAGAAACTGAAATGGGATGTAAAGTAACGTTCTCAGATAAGATGTATTGGTGAAGGTGAACAGAAAGATAGCACTAGCATAGATCATGAAGATGAAAAATAGTATTAATGAATAATCAGTAAAACTTCCATTATGGAAATTTGATGCAACAACTGAAGAAAACATAACAATGCCGATTTCGCTTCTCCATGGATATAAATAGTCGTCTACGATACGTTGCATATTTCCTCTTTGGTCATTAGCTGCCTTGAGTAATCTTTTAAACTCGCCATCTATTTCACCCCTGTACATCACATTATATGTTGTATACGGTAATATAATAACATCAGTATCCAATTTTGTGTTAACAGATTTACGTAAATTATTTATAGTTTGCCTAGGTGGGTTTCGCTGATCAATCCAATCCAATACAATTTCAGAATAATGCCAAGATCTCACATTTCCATTGTTTTGCAATGAATCTAACTGGTGAGTTGAATAGCGTCTCCAACACCGAGTGCGGTGCAGTAATTCAAGCGATATTAGCCGAGGAGACCCAATTTCATGATCAGACTTCCGCCTGAGGGCACTGTGAATTTTATATGCAGCTCGCACATTCGGATTGCTTAAGATTTCGGACTCCATTTTATCGATCAAAATGTTAACTTCGGAGGAGAAAACACACACAAATTCTGTCTGGTTTTCTTCTGTAAGCATATTTTCAAGAAGTTCAATGATTATTAAAGATTGTTCCTCTGTCTCTATCTTCTCAACTAATGCATTCAATAAAATATCAAAATGATTGTTTTCGCTCCTGAACAAAGCTTTAAGGATAATCATGTCCATCTCATTAAACTCTGCAGCCAATAAGTCAGTAAATTTCTCTCTACTGGAATTGTTAACAAATTCTGTGACAACTTGATCTAATCCCGTTAATGGAATGTTATCAGCCAAGTCCTCCTCAGAGAATCCTAGTGCTTTTAGCATGTGCATCATATCTATCATCCTCCCAAAGTTGTCAGCATTTAGCGTGGTCATAATCCAAATTCCTATTTCTTCTAGTAGTGGAGATATGCTAAATTTCAGTCCAAATGAAGTCAAAACCTGAAATGGAATTTTAAGTGATGTTGAGTATAACCTTTAAAACGAAATCATTTCCATAACATTCTGGCCCAGGCGGCAGGCACTTTTGGCTGAAAGGAAACCGTTCAACTGTTCTAAAATAAGTAAGGAAAGATCAAACATAAATTCATACATAAATCAACAAGAATCGATTATGGTGTTCAATGTTCATACTTACTTTGATGTTATCAAACGTCACATCCACTTCCAGCCCCTTTAACAGAGAAACACAATCGTTAACTTCGTTCCAATTCTCACAGTACCCATCCTGTAACCACAACTCTCCGTCTTCAAACTCAAACTCTCCGTTCCACCTTGTCAGCTCATGTTTTTGTACCAGTATTGGGGGTTCGAGCCATGTTTTAGTTATTGCACTCCATACTTTTACTTTTATCTCTTCACCAGCATCTTCTTTGTTACCATCCGGTAATTTCAGTTTCATAGCAAGACCATTACCTATGGAGAGATGCATTTAATTGTTTCAAATATGAATATAGTAAAACAAAAATTCGAGTTCGACCATGAATAGTTTGAAGATATAAAGTTATTTCGTAAATTCTCATTTCTAGGTCATTCAAGCTGATCCGGCATGGATGTATTTACCTGAAAAGATTTTCGTTGCGTCACAATGACCAATCTTATTCTTTGGTAGAATCAATAAACAATTATGAGATAAAAAAATTCAGATCGACTACAGAAACTAACTTAATGACCTCATGAGTCATGAAAAAAGGTATCACAAGGAATAGTTCATATTATCAACAGAAATATTTCATACTATACGTAGTAAAAATGCTTAACAAAAATATAAATACATTTTTGAACTGCAATAGTTCGAAATATTCCAAAATGCTACATTTGATAAAAGTAAAAACTCGTTGAGAGCACTAGAAATGATAATCGGTCGATTCGAAACAACACGTCAGATTAAAAGGTTATCAATGAATAATTAAGTTAAACCAAAATTCTAAAACCGGAATCAAAAAGTATACCGAACCTTTTTACCAAGACGCAAAACATAAGATTTAAAATGGACGAAAGAAAATATTTAAAAATGCGTCTCATTCAATTTCATCAGCTTACCCCAGATCGAATAAGAACGAACAAAATTCTTAGTAAATACAGAACAGAAACTTTAAAAAAACTTGAAAGCCAGAGAAAACAGTTTGAATTGTGGTCAATCATAATTTAATGTACAAAGAGTAATAGGGCTCCATCCAAATAGGTAATACACTAATGATCTAGAAAAGCGACTGAATAAATCTTTAGGTGACTGTTCGTACCGCTTGTTCAAAAAATCAACAATCTCACTGTAAGTATGTGTAAAAACAGAGTAGAACGGTTTTTCTACGTCATCATATTGTGCCCTAATGAACCAGTGTTGAATACGATAATCTGTATTCCAGCAGGAGTTTTTTATGTTTAACGTTCCCATTCCACTGCAATTATTTACCAACTGAAGATCACAATAACAGAATGGTAAAATACGGATTATGCTAAGTTCACTATTGTAAGCTTTAACCTTAACAGGGACCTTACAAGAATCAACGAGACCTTTAATATCCTCCTTGCGTGCGGAAATATTTACATTCCATCTGTAAAGAAATTGAACAGCACCATAACAAAGCGCTCTGAAAAAATTCAATATGAATAAACCAAAGATAACTTTACCACCATTAATAGTCAACAAAGACTCAGATGGTTCAATGAGCCAGAACCATGCCACACCAGCCACAAGTAAAATTGAATTGAGATTTGACAGAACGTTACCGACAGATAGTCGGATAAAATCCACAATATTTCTTACAATATTCCTTAAATCATTACCAACTCTGAGGGACAACCGCTTGAAATCTGCATCAATGGTGTACCGATACCGATAATATTGGGGATAGGGTGATCTGCTAACATCATTATCCAATTTAAGAAGCACTAAATCATGAAGTTCACAGACTGTTCCTCTTGGTGGATCCGTCTGTTCAATCCAGTCCAACACAATCTCCGCCAAATGCCAGGATCTAATATTCTCGTTATCTTTCAGAGATTGTAACTGCTTCAGTGAGTACTTCCTCCAACATCGGGTGCGTTGTAACACCCCCAGAGACACGCACCTGGGAGTCCCAAGCCCATCAGACTTCAGCTTATTTAGGTGAGCTAGAAATTTGAATGCAGATAGCAGCAGCCCCTCATTGTTTGAAGAAATGAACTTCATTTTCTCAATTACATTGTCAACTTCGAAGGAAAAAACGCACAGAATTTCTGGGTGCACATACGACAGCATCACTTGAAGGAGATCAAGAATAATTTGACATTCTTCCTCTGTCTTCATTGTCTCAGCCGATGTATTCAATAAAATATCAAAATGATTGTTTTCGCCCCTGAACAAAGCTTTCAGAATGACCATGTCCAGTTCATTGAATTCTGCAGTCAATAAGTTAGCAAAATCCTCCCTACTTGAATTGTTTACAAATTCCATTACAGCTGGAGTTAATGAAATTTTGCTTGTCAATTGTTCCTCGGAAAATCCGAGCTTTTTTAGCTTGTGAATCATATTTACCGTTTTCCCAAAGTTATCAGTATTGAGAATGCTTTTAAACCACTTTCCTATTTCTTCTAGTAGCGGATCTATGCTGAATTGTAATCCAAATGTGGTCAAAACCTGAGGTTAAGGTTGTATTTAAGTGCTTCTTTCTGGAAATTTTAATCCGTCAAATTTTAATCTGTCAAATTTTAAATGACCAATTTCAATATTAAATATGTCAATCACTGTGACTTTATTAGTTTAAAAGCAATTTATCAATTAGAGATTTTATGTGACATCAAAAATCTTTCTTATAATGCCCGTTTATAGAGAATCCAAATCAATCGCAATGAAATAAATTTATCACGGTCGTTATCCTTACTTTGATGTTATCAAACGTCACATCTACTTCCAGCCCCTTTAACAGAGAAACACAATCGTTAACTTCGTTCCAATTCTCACAAAACCCATCCTGTAACCACAACTCTCCGTCTTCAAACTCAAACTCTCCGTTCCACCTTGTCAGCTCATGTTTTTGTACCAGTATTGGGGGTTCGAGCCATGTTTTAGTTCGTTCTGTCCACACTTTTACTTTTATATCATCAGAGGTTTCTTCCTCGTTACCATCCGATAATTCCAGTTTCATAGCAAGGCCATAACTACGGCGATAGCTGTTTTTAGGTTTATATTGATGTATGACTAAGTATAATTAATTTTAAATTACACAGAATTTAGTTACCGCGATCACAATGAAGTGCATTGAATTTTTTAACAGTGAATCATGACATACACAAAATCAGAAAAAATCATTGTATTAAAAGCATTCTAAAATTAAAAGGGAACATTAAAATACAACTATTCAATTAAAAAAATTCAACTAATTTTGAAATAACCAGAAATAATCATAACAACAGCTTTTAATTTGGTACACGATAAATTTAAACCACTATTAAAACTATACAATAATTTAACAAAAAATTTTAAACACAGTATACTGAACAGATTTGTTTAAAAAAAATATATACAGCATGCACTGAGATACAGAATACAGATAAGTGGTATGCAAATTCATACCAACATAACAAAATATAAGAAAAGCCGTGCAAAAAGCCGGAGGGGATGTCAACTGATCCAAATGTATAAATTAGCGGAACTTACTTAGAGTGCAAATGTGCAAAGGACTCCGTCCCCGTAAATAATAAACTAAAAACATGCAGCATTTATTAAGAAGACCACTTGATAACTTCTCATTTCGCTCCTTCAAATATTGAACTATTTCGCTGTGTGAATTTGTGAAAAGCGAGTAAAAGGGTCTTTCAGAAATATCGTAATCAAGACAGTTAGGCCTTAAAAACCAATGACAAACAGGATAACACAAAGCGATGTATGGACCTTTCAAGTCAACTTCAGCGATTCCGTTCTTATTCAACAATTTCAACTCAGTATATTTTTTAATGAAAAACAATTCCCTGAGCTAACGAATAGGTTTTACCTTCAAAGGAAAAACGGAAGATCCAACGAAATCGTCGACATCCTCCTTAAGCAAACTTATTTCGACTTTATTTTTGTAACGTAAATTATCAACGATATTGATTAAAAAAATCGTTATTTTTTCACGGTTCACAATCAGTGCACATGAAAGAAAAATCAACACAGAAAACACGATGGTTATGAGACTACAAGACGTTATTTGCCCCTTGTAACTTTCTGTAACTTCTATCACAGGAAGCCGCTCAAAAGTATATTTGACAAAAGGGTATAGTAGGTTTATTATTTTTGCTAAAAAATATAAACCGATAAGAATCAGCCAATTACTGGAAAGGAAAAAGGTTCCACAAAACTTCCAAAAACTAAGTTCACTGTACAATCGTCTGTACTTTTGGACAAAACTCTCCTGTGTATTTGAGAACAAGTAATCCAACTCCTCAGAAATCAGATCTTTGTATTCTTCAAAAGAAATGAACTCATTTTTATTGATATTAGATTTTATTCGATCATTGATCATCTCTCGGGAACAGTTGAGATTCTTCCTATAATCATCATTTTGCTCATGATGTAATTTGAGCCAATCAAGCACAATCTCAGTAAAATGCCAGCACTCAAGGTTCGGATTTTCGTTTCACAATTTCAAATCGCCGAAGGAATATCTTCTCCAAGAGCGAGTGCGCTGTAATAATCCTAGCGATATAAAACGGGGGGTCCCGATCCCTCTATCAGACTTTTTTTCGTTCAGAGCAGTCAAAAATTTAATAGCAGCTTTGAGACTTTTTTCGCTTCAGGATAAGGACTGAATTTGCATGATAACCAAGTTAACTTCGGAGGAAAATGTACATAAAACATCAACTTGCTCTGATAGTAACATATTTTTGAGGATATCAAGAACAATCTCACAATGCTCATCTGAATCAATCTTGTCAGCCAAAGATTTTAACAAAATATCAAAATGGTTGTTCTCACCCCTAAACAAAGCTTTCAGGATGACCATGTCAATTTCATTAAACTCGGTAGACATCAATTCAGTAAACTTGTCCCTACTACAATTGTTGACACAATCTATGAAAACATTGATTAATGTAGTCTGATTAGCCAACTGCTCCTCAGAGAATCCGAGCTTTTTTAGCTTGTGGATCATATTTACCGTTTTCCCAAAGTTATCAGTATTGAGGATGCTTTTAAACCACTTTCCTATTTCTTCTAGTAACGGATCTATGCTGAATTGTAATCCAAATGTGGTCAAAACCTGGGGAATATGACAGTGATACGTTTAGGAAAATTAATGTTTCATCTAATCATAATGATGCAAGCTAATCATGTTTTTTAACAATTTCTGTCGGATCATATATTTTCCTGTGAATACCATTATAAACGTAAGAAGATAAAGATTTATAAAACCGGTAGAAAGCAACAGGAAATGACTATTACTGTTACCCTTACTTTGATGTTATCAAACGTCACATCTACTTCCAGCCCCTTCAAAATAGAAATACAATCGTTAACTTCGTTCCAATTCTCACAGTACCCATCCTGTAACCACAACTCTCCGTCTTCAAACTCAAACTCTCCGTTCCACCTTGTCAGCTCATGTTTTTTTTACCAGTATTGGGGGTTCGAGCCATGTTTTAGTTCGTTCTGTCCACACTTTTACTTTTATATCATCAGAGGTTTCTTCTTCGTTACCATCCGGTAATTCCAGTTTCATAGCAAGGTCATAACTAATAGAGGGTAATATAGTTTAAACAGTAATTGAAATGATTAATAAACATGAACAATCAAGCTGGACGCTAGTTCAACCCTGAACAGAGTGAACTTTTATACTAAATTTAAAAATTATAAAGTTTGTGAGCCGAGAGATGTACCTCTAAAGCATATTAACAAACTACTGTACAGAATTGTAGACTTGCGAGAGGAAAGAGATTACAAGTATCTAAAGAGTAAAGACTGCGCTCAAATTGTGAGCCGATCGAAGGAAGATTCAAAACCTTATAAAAAATGATAAAAATTCGCTTGTAAAGAGTTTGAGAAATTCCAGCGGATTATCGGGAACTTTTGATTTCTTCTAAAACACGTAGTAACAATTCAGTACTCCTAGATTCAGATTCAGCCACCGCTTTAAGCAGTTCCTTCTTTGTAGCATCTAACTCTGTTCTCAATTTGCTGATATCATCTTTTACTATTTTCTGTTCTGCATGTAATTTGCTCATCTCCCTGAAAATTTCGAAACCAAATGTTAGTAAATATAAGTGTTTTAATCGAAACGATGGAATAATTTCTAAGAAATAATTGTAGTTTTGAACCCTAAATCTCATCGAGATCGAACTGCTCATAAGACTTGTGAGACTAACGATTATAATTATGGATACAAAAACATACCTTGAAGAAGTTGTCGACTGGTCATTATTAGAAAGATTATTCTTTTTAAAAGCCTCCGTCAGAGCCGAAACATTCTCTAAAGAACCGATCGAGCCTAAAATTGAGCTTAAATCAATTGAGCTTTTGTCCATTTTCGTTCTAACATTATCTGAAACAGTTTCTCCCAAAAAATGTCCGTTTTCTGAACTTCCATTGTCAATGTTCTGATTGAGAGAGTCCGGTTGTTCTAACTGAAGACGAGATAACGCTGTCAACTGAGGAGGTAGTCTGTTGTTGGGAAGTAGCATACTAAGGAGTGGGGGCATGTTGTCCATCATGGACAGGACGGACGAGGACGATTGTTCGTTGTGGGGCAGATCTTTGAGGAGCTCTCTTACTGCTGCTGTGTTGATGTTTGAGGTTTGTCGGCCTGGTGTCGCTGGAGCTGGGGTTGGGTTTTGGGTGAGTATCAAGCGTCATTCAAACAAATTTCAATTGACAGCTCATTTTAACTTACAGTTTGCCTGTTCGGTCTTCATGCATCTAACCTTGGAATCGAAAAGAGAAGATCACAACGAACCAAACAGATTACAAACCTTTAGGAACAAGGATGAGTTTTCTAAAGTAGACAGTAGTTTTAGGAGTATAAGAGTTAGACAGGAACTTAACTCTGACCACCTCGCTCACAGTTTCAGGCTCTAGTTTGTGTTGGTAGAGTGTGTAGCTATCATCCTGATGTGAGGCTCCTTACAAAATACAGTTACTTCAGAATAAATACACATGTTGTGGATTACATATAAACATGGTGGAAGTAAAGTGAAACACCAAACATCCGACCAGCTTATTTGAACTAGTTTGTTAAAAAAAGAAAAGCTCGAACATACTATCTATGTATATTGTATAAGGTGAATGATGCTTATTTTTACCTCAACAACATTTCCCCTGATTGATTTGAGATAGCCGCTTGAAGAGAACAGCTCGATGGTTCTGCAAGTACACAAAGTCTCCATCACCGCCACATTCAACTCAAGAGATCCGTCCTTCTCATCACTCTGCGATATTGACAAATCTTCCGCCTTCCAGCTGAAAGAGAAACAGAGATTAAGAACAATTACTTAGCTAGTGTTCAGCAATCAGCACAACGATATCATAGGATCTTCTATGCGGAAATTTATTTTACCATATTTTAAGAATAATGTTAAGACATTTAAAAGGGGCTGTATGAAGTTGGGTAAGTTACCTGTTACAAGAATCGTCAAAGGAAACTTTCTCGCTAAAGTTCGAGTCCCAGTTGCACTTAATCATGTAACTCCAGCTAGGAAGTAAAGCTCAATGAAAATGACTCACGAAAATTGTACGGTAATCATTGATGTAATGAAACACTTTTAATTTTGTCTCCAAATAAGGACCGGCTTATAGTAGACAAAAAAGCTATGATTGGTAAGCAATAGTTTTATTTATTAAGTACGGAAAGAACCTTCATGGTTTAATTATTCGGTAAGATATCATCAATATGACAGATTTAGACTGGTGGTCAGAGTGAAACTCGTTTGAATTAAAAAATAAAATAAAATTTCGGTTGAATAAGTAAGTACAGAGTACACACATATATATATATTGTATATTGTATATTGTATATTGTATATTGTATATTTTATATTGTATATTGTATATATATACTTGATGCTCCACACAATAATTGTCATTTGTAATTGTTGCTGTTCAGGTACTTTGGTCACCAGAATAGACGTGGAATAGTGAATGATTCTTGAACTAAGTGTTAATTCGACTGACCTGACCAGTCGCACAAACTACAAAGTGCCAAACTACTACAGTACATAGTACATACTAGTTCTACATAGTGCCTAAAAGCCTAGTGGTGGTCTGCCAGTTTTTAACTGTGTTTATTAGGGTAGGGCGATTTACTAATTTACCATGGTGCTTTTCAGACTAAATTGTTTACAGATCGATTTGGTGGAAAATAATTCTAATTTTAATGAGAACCGGTTCAGGAGACAATTACAAATGACAATCATTATCGGATAATATCGGTAGGTATCACTATAAACACATAACTTATTGCGATAGGTAATCGAACAATTTGAAAGATTTGCGGCAGGGAGGTAATCATTTGAATGATGATAAGAGATGTTAATTGGTACGGCTCATCGTATTTAGGTCTTTAGGAGCTATGGTGGTTTGATGTTGGTGTAAAACGTTATTTGTAATATGCTGGAAGCATGGCTTATCGCCGAATGATGCGTTAAATGTACAATTACCTATCGCAATAAATATACTGTTCCTGATGACTCCACGTCATTTAGGTTTTATAGAATACATCATAATAATATATCCTTGAACATGACAGATTGACAGGAGGATAATTTTAATAATTAAATAATTAGTAATATAATAAACCAATTTGCAGTCAAAACAGTAAAATATTGTTCAAAAAATCAAAATTTTGTTTTTATGTTATGCAGAAATATGTCAGAAATATCAAAGTCAACTCAAACCCATAAAAGATTTCAAAACCCTAAGTAAAAAACAAGGTGTAACGTGAGAAATGTGATTATTAATGATTAATTTTATGAGATCACATGTCAAACAAAAAGTACTCCAATTTACAGCCGAATTAATAGTCTTCAATTCATCTCTACACCTAACCCAATATCCCACAATGGTCGACACTAACAATAACATGAACAGGGATCAAAACTTGTTACAAGCTTGTATGAAGCTATGCAGTAGTATGGGTCACACTTAGCAATAGAACCACTTAAATAACTATAAAAACAACAACAATCAACAACACCCAATTTAATAAATAAAACCCACAGTCGGACTATTAATTCGACTGAAACAAATGATTATCTTAAAATCATTTTAGTGAATATTGCAGGTCAGATATACATAATATAGAATTCAAATAAAGTTTTTAAAAAGGTATAAACACAAAACAATCGCAGGATAAATAACATTAAAGGTAAATATTGTACAGTCCCTCCCTACTTACATTCCCTCCCTACGTTACCTACTTCATCTTCTGGTCCTTGACGTGGTCCTGGGCGAAAGTACCCAAATTCTTGATAAACTTTGGATACTCCCTGGTAGCAGCAGCCTTGACAGCAGAGACAGGTATCCAACCACCTGGGTCTATCTTAGAGGAGTAGAAGATTTTACACTTGATGTTCTCCCGGAGGAGGGGGTCTCCAGTAACGATGGTCTGGCAGTAAAACACAATCTCAACACTGGCCCGACAATACTTATCGGAGGGAGCGGTAGCATGGTCACACGACACGTTACACACGATCCAGTCAGGGTTATCTCCTTCTCCTAGCTGCTGTTTGTGACTCTCGTACACAAAATCTCGCTGAGCTGAAGGCCAGATCCTTTTCTGGACCTGGTGGTACACCGCACAGTGCTCGTCCTTATCTTCAATCCAGGTTGATTTATCAATTGAGTTGTCCCACTTCAACTTTAGATCTTGAGAGTGAAATATTTCACACATTTCACAGGCAGTTACACCATCTATCAGGGCTATTGCTACGATGGAGTCCTCGAAAACTCCGTCCTTTGTCTCGGACAGCCGATACAGTTGAGTCTGTCCAGAGTTGCAGAGTTGAGACCAACTCTCAGACTTTTCAGGGTCTTCTTTCGACAGGGAAACATACTTCGTGATCAGATCTTCCATCCTACAATATTGATTGTTCAGTGTCTTAAATAATAGGATAGACAAAACAACCATATACAATTTTCAACTTGTCAAAAGCCGACTCAATTAAAATAAACTATATAAAATTGCGATAGATATTGAAAGCATATTCCGTTGCACTTTCCTAAAAACATCAATTGAGAAGGGATGTTTCTGAAAGACGACCTATAAAATAAAACACTCTAAGAATACCGGCTCATAGAATAATAAATTAATACTACAGTACAATATAAAAATGTCAAAGGTGTACAGTGCAGTGTACATTGTACATTGTACATTGTACGATGAACACTGTACATTGTAAAATGATTAGAATTATTAAAATTGCAAGCAGCTAGCAAGTTCATTTATCTTCTGCCACATCCTCTTTCGTTCCATCCCTCTCAGGAGGCCATACCATAGACAAATTAACAACGTCAAGTTGGAGCATGTCACAGCGGTTCCCCATTATAGTTCCTACATTAGGAACTGTTCTGTTGAAGTCACCATGAACAAACTCCTTGATGTACGTCCCGGCTTCTGATGTTACTTCTGCTACCTAAAGTTCCAGTATAAAACAGATCATGTCAAATATATAAGCGCTAAAAAGGTGTGCGGAAATAACTTTCGTGTGTAAGCAAAAACAAAAAAAACTTGCACAATGCACATGCGTTGCAAAAGATATGTATCGTAAATAAAGATATCTCGTTCTCATGACTATTTGGCAAGTAGGTTGAATTAATGTAAACATAGCTCAAATAAGATGACACAACAATTTCTCTGACCTAAAACCCAGCAGAAAACTAATCAAAGAATTAAAGTAAGACAGTACTCACCACAAGTCTCTTATTTAGAGACTCAGTTAGTTTCATATCGTGTTTGCAACTAACTTCAACCTCTTCTCTGGTGAGAGCTCTAGCTTTGACTCTGCAATTTGTATCTTGTTATTCAACAAAAACTTCGGGATCATAATTGGCTAACTCATCGAGACGTTTCGGAAATAGATTAAAAAAGGTGATATAAATAATGAAAGCTTCAACTCTAGATAAGACATTGGTCAATTGTGTGACAATTAATTCGTATTCATGATGAAGGTAGTATTGCGATGGATTTACTTAATGATTCTTTTAGTGCGAGTTAATGGTGATCTCCGGTGTAATACTCTAAGAGGTGTCTTCTGTTCCAAGTCCAAGTTTTCCACGCTGTTTAGGTTGCTAATCATTTCATCTGTTACCTCGTTTTCAGCCTGAAAATACAACACTTTGAGCATAAATAACTCAGAATTGTCCCAAATAAGATGTAAAGATCACAACCCAAATCAACAAAACCAGAAACAGAAAAATAAAACTGTGCTTTTTACCTTGATTATACATCGATACTCCTTCTGTTTCTCCTCCTGACCCTGCTTTACTAATTCTGTCTCTGATTTTGTAACTGGAGTCAGTTTGTAGCACTTCACGTGTGCGCTCTGTTTGTTAATTACAACTTGAAGTTCGTCTAACATGGCTTCAGTTGGAAACTTTCTCACATTCGTCAGCTGAAGCGCAAGGATTTGTTTATTGCAGGAAACACCATGGTTTCTCATGGATATTGTCATAAGATTGAAAATGCCACAGGGCGGAGTTAAATAAAGTTTTGATGTTTTCATTACAATTTTCGACCGGCTGACACTAAGAAGTAAGAGGGTACAACACTTTATCCCATTGCCTAGAAGGAGGGGCAGAAAATTAAAGGACTATAAACTGTACCTGAACGTAGAAAGGTCGACCAGTCCCCAACATTCTGACATCAATATCCTCCCTTCCTGCTGAATGCATCCTCGCCTCATCTGTAGACAATATCTTGATGTTTATCGATCATAGTGACGTCATAAACTAAATCTAATGTATCTAATTAACAATTCTCACATATAAAGAAAAGGGGAGCCAGCTACATAACAACTCTGACAAACCTGCTCTAAACGCCTTCTGGAGCGGTTTACAGAGGATGTCCTCGATATTACCAGCAATAAGAAGCCCGTCTTGCTTTAACCAGGGTGTTTGACTCATATTCCTGGCCATCTTTGTGTATCTTCCACCTAACAAAATTGATTTGTAGCGATATTAGTTATTATATACCTGATAATTTGTCAATAATCCTGAGCATACTGCTTTGTCCATTGGAATCAATAAATATACAAAACAAATACAGCGTTGAAATTATTGTTTTAAGTAATAAGTATGCAAATCTTTCTCACCAACAAATGTAGTGTTAGCTAATACGGATATTGAGAACTGGACTGCTCTTCCTGGAAGTTTTAAATACGCCTTGATATCCTCATATTTAGCACGAGCAAGAGCATCTTCTAAACGTGCACTCTGAAATATGTTGTCTAGAGTAAGAAATTATATTGATTACTTATTAATTAAGTTAACCACAAATTGAATGCTACAACACAGTTAGTGGACACATGATATAAATAGGGTCTAGCGATGATAAGACTTAGACCTTGAATTTACCCTGGCTGAAGTTGAACACGTCCCACTCTAGAGGAGGCCTACACATCCACATAAACTCATCGTTATCCAATCGTACCTCAATGTTCACCTAGGATAGTGGAAACTTAGTGCTCGGTTTATATAGGGGTAGCAGTTATCTAAAAAGAGTCTATCATGAAATTTGAAAGGATCGTACTTAAAATTGGCGGAAAATATAAATATTAAAGAATTTGTCATTTTGTTCCTTTACCATCAGATCTTGATCGTCTGCTTTAGATGCGTTTTGCACAACTTTAGGACAACCTAGAAATTGCGAGAGCTCTTCGGCCATTAACCACTTGAAAATAGTCTTTATCTGCAATTTAATTCCACCGACCCCGCAGAGAAACGACCTAACATTCAACAGATCAATATTACTGAAAGTTACTCCGACACTACCCACACACTCATACTCTGACAGCAGCACTTTACACTTGTTCATGAGAGTTCGAATAGTGCTGTTCTGAAGTATTCCTGCACACAAGTAGCACGTGTTGTCAGGGCGGGACCGTAGATCTGGTGCTAATGTGCTCAATGTATCATCTGAGATCAAATTGAATGCTTCCGGGGATTCTTCGAGCAGTTTGTATTGTTGATCAAAACCCTCCTTGATTTGGATACCGTTGCTCTTGTTGAAGATCACTCTCACACTGCATCTTTTACAGATACTAGGTTTTGGGACTGCAGGTTTAGTGCTTTCATCTGGTTCAGCATCTGTCAAGCTTTCGGACACTTCTATCTTGTCTTCTAATTTGATTTCCATTTTGCTTCCGACTTCCTGATAATAAAGATGTTAATTCTACACGAGAGGGAGAAAATACATCCGTGAAACATCTTTTGACAATGAAAACATGAGTTGAAATAAGAGCAATCGCGCGTTACGTAAAACACAATATTTTTTGCAATTTTCCTAGATAAGATTGCGCTCGCATAACAGCCAAGAAGGAGAGCCAGAAATTGTACAAAACGCATAAATTATCAATTGTAACAACATATTTAAGAACATATCATTAAACCATAAAGATTAAAGACCAGCTTTAACGATACGGGGGGGGGGGGGGGGGGGGGGGGGGGGGGGGGGCCAATGACTACCAATGGAGACTTTTGGGGACTAATGGGGACTAAAAATCATGGGGACTAGAGGTCAACTCGTTGACGTAATTCACCATTTGTCCCCATAAGTCCCCAGAATTTTTGACAGTTATTTATGGTTTTCAAGTTAGTTTAATAACGATACGATCGAGATGTTTTGTCCAAGATAAGAGTAGGATAAATCTGACTTAAAAGTAAAATGATAAGCCCGGTTGTAATGTGTTCTACCACTGTACAAGTCAGTTCAGATTGAGGTAAATTGAAGTTTAGTCAAAAACAAAAGAAACCAACGCCAATTTCAAATTACTGAGCATATCATTTCAGACAAATCAATACAAAAGTAATAAGAAAAATTGATAATACGTTTATTTTCCTTGCGCTACAACTCGTGTTACTAGATCAATCTGATAAAATAAGCGTATATGGACACGTTCATTTGAGTTTGAGGATATTGGTAAATATAAGTGACCCTATTAAAAGGCACAGTGTAGTTGACTTTGTCACACTATGAAATTACACATACCCTTGATGGTTAGGATAATCGTCTCATCCTCTAGGCTAACTTTGTCACTTAACGATATCTTAATCAGGTGATAAGATATCGCTTAAATACGGCCGGCACGGAAATGGTTACATTGTCACACTATAAACATGTGACGGAGTAATTATGGACCCCTTGCTGCCGTTTTTGACCAGATTTTTGAGTGTCCAGTTGATTGGATGGGTACATATGACCATTACATACATATTTGACGACTTTTTTCGTTAGATGGTGCACTCAGGTTTACTCCGTCACACATTTAAGAAAACATGTGAAGAATGTTTAGGGCACCCTGATAAGCAATGCTGAGTAGTGTAGGTTTATTTGATGTCCTGGAAGTGCTGGGAATTGTTATTATATCATATAGTCGTAAGGAATTAAAACACAGAAGGCACAAACAAGTTTACTTTGTCACATAATCTTGATGATATCTGAACATGTGTGAAATTGAACAAATAATGATATACCAGCTTAAACCCCTTATTTTATGTACTATGGATCAAACAACACTGCTAGTACCACGCACCAGTCACATAAATCATTATCGGGTGGTAATATGTTAACAGTGTCACAATTAAACTACCGCAACATGGTCAAAAATAGGGTTATTTCGTCACAAAAAAAATCATTATAACTCTGTTAGCTCCTTGCTGGCAAAATAACTAGTTCATTGATGATAAAGTTACATAGTATTCTAATAGAGGTATAGCTCTTCAAAATAGGGGCAAGACATGTTTACTTTGTCACATCAGTAATTATTATAAGAGTTAGGTAATCGTCATCAGATTAACAGATCTTTTTCGTAGTTTGGATCGATTAATATAGATAATAAAGCATCATATGCCAATTTTAACACACTATCTTGATATATTGTTGGGGCATGGAAAGTTAATTTTGTCACATTTTCAGCGTCTTTGACAAATTAATCTAAAATTGTTAAACTTGAGCTCTGATGTTCTGGACAATATTCTACCAATCGTTTCTGAAAGAATGTTGAATTCTAATAGAGTTACAGATCTTCAAAATAGAGGCAAGACATGTTTACTTTGTCACATCAGTTATTATAAGAGTTAGGTAGTCGTCATCAGATTAACAGATCTTTTTCGTAGTTTGGATTGATTTATATAGGCAATAAAGCAGCCTATGCTAATTTTTACACACTATCTTGAAATTGTTGGGGCAGGAAAAGTTAATTTTGTCACATTTTTAGTGACTGAGACAAATTTAACCTAAAATTGTTAAACTTGAGCTCTGATGTTCTGGACAATATTCTACCGATTTTTTTCTGGAAGAATGTTGAATTCTAATTGCTAATAGAGTCATAGAATATATAGATCTTCAAAATAGGGGCAAGACATGTTTACTTTGTCACATCAGTTATTATAAGAGTTATTATAAGAGACTATTTCATTCTATAATCATTGTTTTTAACCTATTTACGATTTCGTATCATTTTTTGTGACAATGTAAACATCAACTGATCTTAACTTGCATCAACTACATTGTCATTATATAAAGTTTTCCCGCCTTTCAAACCAAAATCAGATATAAATAATTCGCCCAAAATTTAAAATTCCATATATTGTGACAGAATTAACCTCATTTCCTAATAACCAAGTGCCTGTATTTAGCTAACTATTCGAAAAAAAATATTTTAGGGCTATGATTGGTAGATCAACCATCAAATAATGAGTTAAAAGGTTTTTGAGGACACCTCACAGTAGAATAGAGGTATGGTATTCTGAGTGTGACAAAGTTACCCAAATATTGCCTTGTAACCGTTCGATCCGTGCCCTTTAACCAATGTGGTATCATAATTGTTAGATTGACCTAATCTACTATATTTCAGACCAAGGAATGATAATTAGAGAACTGCAGTTAACTAAGTCACACAAAATGTGACATTTGAACCATTATAGTGCCTAACAACAATAGATTTTCTTTCTGAGCAGTGCATATGGGAATATGGGTTACGTGGCTAATGTTCAGAACTTCTGAAAGTGCTAGGTTAATATATGTCAAAATTAAGCCACTATCGTCGAAAACCAATATCCTCAAACTCAAATGAACGTGTCCATATATGCAATATGTCTCCTCAATGTTGTCATTGGTAGTCGCCCCCGCCCCCTCCCTTTATTTACCTGAGGTACTCTAACAGCCCTCAAGTAGCTCCCAAGAAGTCAGGAATGTCCAGTGACCATTTATAAATATTCTAGACTTCAGTCTTGAGAAGTTTACGATCTGGTCTGGAGAAGCCAGTTTTTTTGAAATCTAAGTGGGGACTAATGGAGACTTTTGGGGACTAATGGGGACTAAAAATCATGGGGACTCGGGGTAAAATCGTTGACGTAATTCCCCAAGTCCCCAAAAGTAGTCATTGGCCCCCCCCCCCCCAACGATACTATACAGATGATCCTCCATTTTATTTAATTATCAACACGTAACTTCTCAACTTATAATCAAACAATATGTACTAAAAGTTACACAAATTGGGATAAAAACAGTTGTGGAACCCTCATTATTATTAGCTTCGATCAAAAACATCCCAAAATCCTCTTTTGAAACTCATAAACCATTTTTGAACGAATTAATAGTCTCCGTCAACACAGTATTTTGTGAACCAATCGCATTTAACACATTATCCAATAAGTCAATACTCTTCGCAGATTTGGCTATTTCCGCAGCCTTTTCTGGCATATTCAAATCAATGTAAAACTCAACCTGAAAATAAAGGATTATTGGTTAAAGAATTTCGAATATAAGTGGAATAATTTGTTAAGGAAAATATTTGACGTTGTAGGTATTTCTAACAGTCAGAAATCTTTTGTACTGCTAAAAAGCAGGAAGTTGATCTGAAGTATAAATAAATAAAACAAATAAAATGTTAAAATGTGACAAACCTGCTCCTCTTTGGAAACACGCTCAATGTATCTTATAGCTTCAGCTTTGTTGTTATTGTCAATACAAGCCATAACAAACGGAGAATATCCTATTGGAGACTTCTTACTTTTTGCAAACTTTTCAAGTTCAGGCCAATTTCTGGTCTGAGCAAGAGCACGAACTTTAACCCACCAGAACTTTTTATCTGAAATCTTGAACTCTTTTCGGACATTCTCAGCATCAGCTAGAAGTGCTCTCTGAACCAAAATACTGATGGTTTCGTTTAGATTAAGTCCGATAATATCGGCTACTTTAACCTGAAGTGCCATCTGTCTCCTTAGTAATGCGATTTGCTCTTTAGTAAGACGAGATTCCAATTCCTTGGACCCATCAGTAAAATGTCTGTTAATACTCTCGAGTAGTTTTATCTTAGCATCAAGCATCATGCTATGCTCCAGCTCCTTTATAGACAGTAATGCGGAAGCTTCGAAGTTGTCCTGAGTGTAAAAATGATCGTGAAGTTTCTGACTGTCTGTAAGAGAGCACCACTTAGCATACCACGCACTCGCAACCGGGTAATCTTTGAGCGTGTTGATAAAATCTCTGGGAGTCTGCTTGGACTCCATGGTAACTATCACAGTGTGAACCAGGTCCATATCACCTGACTCGATAGCCTTCTCGATAGCGTTAGTAAACCGGCTCATTCTCATCAGAGCAGGAACTTGTTCAGCGGACCGTGGTTCGTAGTCTAACAGTTTTATTGCTAGCTCTGTTCTACCGTAGTTCTTAGCTTCGTTAGCAACTGAAGCGTAGGATATAGAATCACTGGGGCCAACTCTCTTGAAGATAGCATCTGCTATAGCTTCGTCTGATTCCTTAGATCGCTTCACTTTATCCATAGCCCAATGAGACAAAACCATTTGTTGACCCTCAGGTATCTTCAGATATTCAACAATAGGAAGAGCTAAGTAATACAACCTCATCCGAACCAACCGTTTTATCAAACCCTTGATTGTAAAGGAATGCAACTGTTGGTAAGTTAACGGAATTCCAATTCTAAATGATTGAACCTCATTCAATACCCTCAGTGTTTTACACATGTCGACAAAGTGCTCGGGACTGTCATTGGCTAAGAAGCACTTGCCATATGATGCAGCACGAAGCAGCGCTTTCTGAAGTTTAGGTTTGGTAGAGCAAGCAGCGGCACTTATACACTGGTTAACTGCTAGTTCTATATCGTCTCTTTCCACTATTTCCTGGCGGTTATTTAGAATTGTAATTACGAAGTTATGTATTATAAATGGGAACTCAACATGAACAGGACATGTCTCGTCAATTGTATGTATGTATGTATGTATGAATTGTATGTGTAATAAAATATCTCTACTCTATGCACAATGTATTATGAGCAAATGTACTGACTACTGATCTTTAGTGTCGAGGATGGTGATGAAATTTACTAACGAGTGTAACTACCCATTCAGGTTTTCGAAAATCTAGCAATTAATTTTTACATCATATGAGCAGAAAGTTATCATGTGATCAAAAATCAGCTATATATATAATGATTCAAATGTTTAGACTTCAATGTACTCATATTAGACACTCTGAATTTATGCTGTTTTTTTATAGCATGCTGTTAGAATCAACAATAATCTCATAAAGCTGTCAGAAGAACGAAACAGAACTTGTTATTTCAGCGAGGTAACATTATTCACACACTCCTTCACACTCAAACACTCCTTCACACTCACACTCACACTCACACTCACACTCACACTCACACTCACACTCTCACTCACACTCACACTCACACTCACACTCACACTCACACTCACACTCACAACACTAACCTGCATATAGTCGTTAGCCTTGTGTGAGGATTGGTCGAACTCGCGCTGTGCATCGTACAGAAGAGCACCAGACTGAGACGAGCCCACCCTGAACACGTCAACCATGGCTTGTGGAACTCGCCGTATCAGCTCGTGCGACTTAGACGATATTATCCTGGCACCATCAATCTCGTGACACACACAGATAGACGAATCTGTGTAATGGATTGAAGACTCAGCCTCAACTCCAACCCCCACTACCTGGTACTGATTCAGTGCGTCCCACACCAGGATAATAGCAGCGCTCATGTCGATCATACTGTCATATGTGCCGCACCAAGACAACTGGGAGGGTCTGTTGGTGACACAAGTGTCAAACTCAGTATACATGCACTGCAGATCTGAGGATCCCACCCACAGGAACCCATTCTCTGAGAACAGGGCAATATCCAGGGTCTTATACAGAACGGACATCTCAATAACTGCGCCAGTTGACTGCATCATACGCTGCGGGTACTTGGGACTGCAACTACCTCTATCTATCAGGTAGAGTTTATTGTTGTTAGAAACTAGTATCTCTATGCTCCGATCGTGAGGCAGTACCGCCCAGCTGCTGGGTGGGTTGTCCAGACCTGGCACATCTGCCATTAGTTTGTATTGAGGGTTATCCTCGCTCACGTCGGAGTTAAAGTAGAATCTGTAGCTGCCTGTTAGTAGGGCAACTCCTGTCTTTGTACCTCCGTATGTAGGGAATACCTGAGAAACACATCGAATGATAATTTGTCAATGTTGGAATGCCTGGTAGCTTCAGTTGATATTGAAGTACGACTACATACGGTAACTAACACATGACATGACGTGTTAGATAACGTCTAGATATGGTTTCAAACATTATTTCTATCTTATTTAATGTTTAACATGATAAACTTTACTATGATCTGTTTAGGATCAGGATTATTGTTGATCAACCTTCGCCTCGATGACTCGAGAATCCTGGATCTCAGAAGTAGCTGAAGACTGTGATAAAGGAGTTCCGTCAAAATCATACATGTAAATAGAGCCAATATCAGTGACCACGATCAGATCCTCGTTGTTTGACCAGCCCATGTTAACGACTGTTATCCGCTCGTATTGTGTGGCTATCTCACTGAAATATTTATCAGCAATCATGTAACAAGTATTGTGTAGTAGGCATTTTCACGTGACAATTATGATTTATAAGATTAAAACTTGAGAATCACAGAAACAGTTAAACTTGACCATTAAATTTACAACAAAACGATCAGCAGAGAATAAGTAGGTAACAAAACGATCAGCAGAGAATAAGTAGGTTACAAAACGATCAGCAGAGAATAAGTAGGTAACAAAACGATCAGCAGAGAATAAGTAGGTAACAAAACGATCAGCAGAGAATAAGTAGGTAACAAAACGATCAGCAGAGAATAAGTAGGTAACAAAACGATCAGCAGAGAATAAGTAGGTAACTCACTTTAGCAGAACGCCGGCTCCGTTGTATATTTCAATAAATCGTTTAGGTTGTCCCCGAGTTAGCTGTTTGCTGTCCCACGCCAGGGCTACCATACCTCCATAGGGTGCCATAACAAGCTTATAATTCTTTAGAACCTAAGATAATAGATGTTTTCTTGCGATCATAATCAACAATATAGCATTATAACGGAATTTATACAACTCAGCTCTTTATACATTTAAATCAGATGATTTTGATACCTGATAGCTGATTATTAGTTTAATTTTTAATTCTACATTAATCTAAAGGTTCTACAAGACAGCAGAGTGATATCTTAGGGGGGGGGGGGGGGGGGGGGTATCTTACCTTATCAGCCCACTCCATCTCATACACTTCAGTAATCTCGTAGAACACATCCCCCAACAGCTCCCAATTCTCCCTTAAATTCTCCGGCTCCATAGCCACGTGACTAGCAAGTTAAAGTTCCAACTATCACACTAAATTCTTTACATAGCACTGCAGACGTTTCAGAATTTAACTTCTATAATCTATATGGATATTGAATTGTTTATTTCAAATATTTTACGTGAGAAACATGGATGATAATAATTTAGTGCTTGAAAAACGCTAGACACTGTGTCATTAATGAGTCAACAATGAGTCATTAAAATATCAAGCATATTAATTCTATAAGGCAGTAAAACAATTCAATATAAGTGCGTAATAATTTAGTAAGTCACAGGTGTTATGGGATACAATGAATATTACTGGCACTTTCAGCATGCAATAATTTGTTGAATTTTATTTGAGAACATCAAAAACAGAGATAAAGATTGATGAAATACTAATTTGTATTATCGAGATTTACCAAAAAATAAGCAATCGAGATTACATCATTTCAACCTCTGACTTGATTCATGTATTTCCGCCGAGAAAGGTACTGGCTTGGAATCATCTCTTGGTTTAGCCAGAACGGAAGGCATGAAGTATGTTTCAGGATCAAACTGCACCACATATCTTCCCAACCTGTCTGCTTGCTGTTGATGAGATTCAAAGTTCTGAAATGTAACAAAGAAAGCTTTTACTAAACTCTCGACTGAATTTCTACCATACATCTTCACAGCAACATTTTTGTAACCAGCAAGATCAAGTAATTCTTTAACAACACGCTGTGCCTTGTTGTCTTGATCTGAACTTGTTGGAATGGCATGAAGCTCAGTTCTGTGATATCGCCCCCTTGTAGCGTATGGTATAGATCCTGTTTCAGTCATAGGAAAATGGACGAGTTGTCTGTAGGCATACTCCTTAGCTTCTATCAGGCCTTCTCGTAATCTTGGATGAAATGTGATGCCAACCCCTAACAGTCCTTTTCCATTGCCGACGGCCACACATATTCTCATACCAGCCTGTTTACCTTTAGAGAATAACTTCTCCCGATAATCAAGCTGCAATATCTTAGAATTAAACCTTGTGTCAGAATCCACGTCCAAACTTCCATCTGGTAACAGTTTTCTTGGAGGGCCAAAAGATTCTCCACATCCGTTGGTGTGAGACCAGCCCCTACCGCTAAAAGAGTCATACATATCAGCACTTTTTTGTGCTCTGAGTGAATTCTTGATATCTCCTACCCTCGGAAGCCGCTGTACAGTTACATCAGATAGTTGGTGATGTGGCATGCAGTCATAAAACTCTGAGAACTTTCTTATAGAAGCCCTCTGAGTTTTGTCGAAACGTTTATAATTAAAATTCTCTATTGGTTGAATATTTGTCTTTGGATAGATGTCCATGGCGGTGGCTTTGTTTCTAAACTTAGGAGCTTTAGATCTTATTCCAAATTTCCACTGATCAGAATCCGTAGAGTAAAATAACTGGTGCTCATCATCCTGTAATAAGGGTATTCTATATCCAGTTTCATCTGATTTACCATTGTGGGCATACAAGCTTGTCTTTGGGGATGAGTCTGGTGCTCTTGAAAGTAGGCGAATGATTAAAGGGTTCGAACTACTATTCTTCACATGGAGGAATAACCTTTTAGCCATCCCTACATCAACTTTTTACTGAAATTAGAAATCATTAATTACAAATTTGTTTCACTAATTGTAAAGCTGGTCAAAACATAAAATATATCGGGGAGTATTATAGATAAGCATCAAAGTAATGGTGTCGATGTGATTTGATTTATTTCAAGAACAAATAAAACAGTGACGTCTACATAATAATGTCATCTCCTGAGTTGGGGTCAAATCTCTATAATATGTTCATTTATAGTTTATACAGGGTGAGAATCCTTTGCTGTTCTACCAGGGCTTATGTCTGCTACCAAAGCAGTATTAGTTTCAATAAAAGAACCTTTATTTTATTAACAAGACAGCCCTGTATGCTACCCCTTGGGCACAATGCAGTGGCGTAACGTTGCCTGTTGGTGCCCCCCCCCCCCCTGCCAAAAAAAAAACTCTGCACAGTGACATTCTCGACTGGAGTGTGTTATAAGAGACAAGTTGCTTGTCTGCTAGGAATCCAAGTAGTCAATCTACGGAAGGGTGCCCTGGCTCAATCAATACTCGAAGAGAGCATTATTGTCTGGAAGCGTACAAAAGGAATTACCAGATTAATATTAGTAGTGCATCTGGGTGTAGTGCATCCAGTGGGAGCTGCGAGAATACTATATTGTACAAAAATTTTGTAATGTGTCTTGAACATTATTCAAACAATATACACATAATATAACAATAACCCTATATAAAAATTCTATATAAAAATTCAATAAAAAATCTTAGAAAATTTCATAAAAACCCTTTGTTGTAGTAGCAAAAGTAGCCGATTCAATTTGTTGGCTCTAAATTAACATCTAAATCTGATATCTTAACTATACTACCACTTTATATCATTCTTTCTCTTCTAAGAGCAATAATTGTCGTTCTTAACAAGTCAAATCTTATTCTTTTCCTGATAAATTGTACAAAAATGTTCATTTATGTCCCAAAACAAATATAAAGTGCTGCTAGGAATATCCAAGGAATTTACGTGTAATACCAAAAATAATGTCAACAGTCATGTTATTCGCATGATGGAACGAGTTAAGAAAGGATGAACCCAACTTGAGCTTCTTTAATAGTTTTCCCTTACAGCTATTAGGACGCTTTGAAGTATTATAGTAGACACTCTGAATAGTGAATTATAGTTGATAGTGAAAAGAAGCGAAGTCTCACGATATGATGATGATAGGGCAACATAGGAAGCCGTTTACTGGGCCGCGCTCAGCCTGTCATTCCGCCTAATCTCTAAATGTTGTTTACCAACATTAAAGCCTGGGGTCCTCAGGTAAGAAGCCGTTTGCAGTTTGTGAAAGCGTACTGTTGTTGTGTAGTGAAATATGGATACAAGGATACAAGGATACAAGGATACAAAAGTGATAATTACTTTATTGAGTACACAATAGTTGTAATTCTGAAATAATTTAGGTTACACAATTCTAATTATTTACAAGTGTGTAGGGATAATTTAAAAATGTTATATAATGCTAGTTTTAGAAAAATAGATAAATCGAGTTTGTATGTGGAAACTGAAAACTTTTTAGAAGCGCTCGAAGCGTACTAGAATTTATACAAATGTACAAATCAGCAAATGCGTGCGGTGTATAACTCAATTTGTTTTATTTGTTATAACTGATGTAATTCCAATTGTTCAACTGGCTGTTTAAAAAAAAATCAAAAATCGAATTTTGATAGTTATATTAATAAAATATATATTTTTGTATATAATGATCGCGGATTCACTATGTAGCGCGATGCACGACTAGGTCGCGCGCGCGCATCCAATAATGCTTCTCGCAACCACAAATCGGCGAGATGCGAAGGATTGACATCGTGAATCAACGGATTCACGTGTAGCCATGAGTCTACGCGTGCTACTGCAAGCGAGAGGGCTCTGGTTAGAGCATTATCGCGGATATAAAATTTAAAATTGCCTAGAGCTCCTTAAAAATTACGAAAGGGAAAATATTTATTTTTGCTTCACTTAATAAAACAGTAAATATTATCAAATATGAAAAATAAGTATCAATTGCAGCATAAAATAAATTGCATGTAAGCTATGAATTACCGCAACCGGACTCAAAATGGAATGCAAATGCAGATTTAAAATAAACAATAAAAATATGAAAAATTTAGAGCGCCGCGCACAAATGTTGCCACTGCAAAAATCGAGCGTCACAGTGCACATTAAAAAAATCATCTCAAAACAACATTGCAGTAATTTCTGATCACTTTATAATCATATTATTCTATTTTTAATTCTAAGTTATTCTGACTTGAGCTATTTAAACTAATATTATATAGCCGTGTATGTACACGTTCATATGTTATTTTTGCTATAAATTTCATGATTCATCTTAAAATCGATTTGTATATTGTTGAAGCTATGTAACCTTATAATTGGATAAGAAGGCCATTACTGTTTATATATTACACTGCACTTAAACATTATTGCATGAAACTGCATTGTTGTGTTGGCTTGCATGAATTCTGTATGATGATATTGATATAGCTTTCAGTCGAGATGGAAATAGACTTAGCAAGATCTTTTTGGTGTTGCTCTCTAATTACTTAAGTAAATAATATAAGTCGTCACAATGTCCATTGTTGACAGTATACTTAGATTTTCACCATAATATTTATACTATATTGTATTTTGTATTTATGTATTTTAGTAAATGGTCATTAGAACCACCGGCACCGTCCGGGCCCAAACAAACATCAAGTCGTTGCTCCCCACACGGACAATATTGTGATAGAATATTATAAATATCATAAGTCCTTCCTCGATTGTACATTGTTATGCTCCATGAGTTCATCTTTTTGGATGTTGCAATGTTCTTATTCTTCTTAATATGCATAAATAGTAACTGTTAAATTTACTAATTTTTTTTAAATCTAGACACTTATTTTACTTCGGAGTATTCCAACAGCCATATTGTTACACACATGCAACCAGCCAATTACAGGAAGCCGAAGGATTTGTTTTTAGCCAGTGACGGTTAAGGTAGTGTGTACCATACTTTCTTCGCCCGAGACTTTGCTGCAATGTGCAGCTCCTCATTTAACCCTCACACCCGATTTCTCGAGTATTCGGCTGAGTAGACCGGGGGGCTGCATAGACCACTCACGATCCTTAGCTGAATGTCAACGACACTCACCCCACGACCAGGCAATCGAAAATCAATTGTTAACTATTATTGAAAAGTTAAGTAAAGTAAAGTAAAAATTATGACATAACATCATCACACATGTCTACAAAGTATCAAATCACTACATGGAAAAATATAAATATCTTACCACCAAAATTAATAAATGATTAACTACAACTTTATTAAGGGGAATAAAGATTTATAAATCTCTTTTTTGCCACAAAAGGGTGGAAATAAAGATAATTGTTATGCTTCTCTTTATTACTAACATAGCTAGGTCCTTCAATTCTCCCTAATACTTCATTTGAAACATTCCAAAAATGTGAATCATTAGAAATATCCTTAGAAATCATATCTTTCTTAAACCCTTCTGATTTAATCTTAAAATTTAAAACAGTCACAGAGTTCTTAACATCTGGAGGGAGTTTGTTCCAGTAAGGAATAAATTGCTCTGGAAGAAATTAACTTTGGAGATTCCTAATCTTTGTTATACTCTTACAACATCTGTTGGATGATACAAGATTAAGACCAGATCTGCTCACTTTGAACAAATCTGAGCCGTAATCGGTCAAACCATTAATAACCTTAAAAGCTTCAATAAGGTTCCCACGTATTGGCCGCTCTGCGTTGTCAAATTGAGAATTTCCAGTCTACGGCTGTCAGGAAGAGTACCCACCTCATCAATAAGACGGGTAAACCGCCTCTGGACGCTCTCCAGCTCCAAAACAATCCCCCAACTTCCATGAGCCGCAACTGGATTCCACAATTGGACACAATACTCTAGATGAGGTCTTATTAAAGCTTTATAGATGGTTATCATAACTCCCTTTTCCCTTAATACTAAATTCCTTATAATCCAACATATCATACGATTTGCTTTAGTAATGCATGCTTTTATCTGTTCATTCCAAAGCAAGGAGTTATGTGTAATAACCCCCAAGTCTTTTTCCTGAGCAGATGCTTCAAGTTCTACACCATTAACAAAATAGTTTAAGTTAGGATTACTATTAAGATTTGCATGAACTACTTTACATTTGGCAGGATTGAACTTTAAAAGCCAAATACTCTCCCAATGTCATCAGCAACACTTTTATGTTTAGCCGCATTGAAGTTTTTAACTATGCTGCTTGTATTGTGTACTTACCCATTTTTGAACTTTTAATGTATTGTGGGGTCGTGAGGATGTGATATTAATAACGATTTTCATAGATAAAATGCCGAATAGCTTTGTATACTTCGACATAGAGAAAGATGGAAAGCCCATTGGCAGACTACTCATGGAATTATATGGCGATGTAGTTCCTAAAACAACAGAAAACTTTCGGGCCCTCTGCACGGGAGAAAAAGGATATGGTTATAAAGGTTCTTCTTTTCATCGGATCATTCCTAACTTCATGTGTCAAGGAGGTGACTTCACTAGTGGAGACGGAACTGGTGGTCGATCCATCTTTGGTGAAAAATTTGACGATGAAAACTTCACACTGAAGCATACAGGTGTTGGACAATTGAGTATGGCAAACTCAGGACCTAACACTAATGGGTCTCAATTTTTTGTAACTACTGTTAAGACAACCTGGTTAGACAAAAAGCATGTTGTCTTTGGGAAAGTAATAGAAGGACTAGACACTCTGAAATTGATGGAAGATTGTGGCACATCAGGTGGAAAGGTCTCAGCTGATGTAAGGATTGCTAATAGTGGTCAAATTATACAGTGATGGTGATGAATCTTGCTGATTGGCATTAATTAATGATGTGATGTTTGATAGTGATTCGTTTTTTTATCAGATACTTTATCTGGCCAGCCATTTCTTATATTATTGAATTCATTAACAATATTCTTTGGCAAATGATGACCTAGTTTTATTTATTTTATTAATTGACTTATAAATTTATTGTTTTACTGCTTATCATTGACCATTTCAACACAGATGTTTTCAGTCTTGTGTCCACTATAATCTTGTAAAAAATACAGTGATTATTAAAAAACTTTCCTATCCAATTTGAAATAACTTGTAGCAGTGACTCTAGTCTCTAACTTAATAACATTTAATTAAAACCTTATCTTGCACAGGCAGTCCTCTGTTCAAGCATGTCAACTAGGACTAATGTCTGAAACAAAGAATTTGCTACATTTGTAGTGTTAACCAGGTCTGATGGTGGAAGTGAAGTATGTTCTAGGCATCTTTGGTCAGATATTATTCTACTACATCTGTTCAATATCCATTACATTCTTCAATAAATGGAGCTTTTCCGTGAGTTTTTGCCCAGTGTTCTTTCTGTATTCACGTTTGCCATGTTATTGATCTATTAGATTTTCGCAGGTATTTCTCTGGTTCAAGCTAGTATCTTTTGTAACATTGAAAGCTTAAGATCCTGTTGGCTAATATCAATATTTCAGGGTTTTCACTTCCCCTTGGTGGTTTCCTTTTTTCACATGACTCTGGTGTCCCATGCGATATGGTGTTACAGAACAGTGACGAAAAGTACCTCTGGGAAAGATGAAATTACATGGAGTTTATTTTTCAAACGGGTCTGCCCCACTGGTATGATATTGTTGTTACATAGCATTTAACTTTAAAGGTAGTATGTAACCTACACACTTATAGATACATTCAATCATGGTACGATATTAATATTGAACTTGTATTGTTATTTGTTGTTTGTTACATTAATGTTCGAGTACTTTGGGGTGCTTAAAGTTCTATGTGGTTCGCCAAGTCAAACTTTAATCTTCATAAACCCTTAATTTCAGCTGTCTCAGCAGCAGTGGATATAGGCTTATCCAACTGGAGTTTTATGTACATAACAGTGTCAATGTATACAATGTGTAAATCTACAACTATCATATTTATTCTCATCTGTGCTATCATATTCAAACTCGAAAAATTCGTGAGTAAAATTCTTTCACATTACATAATGCATAATCTGTTGGGTTCATTTTCTTTGATATTATAGAACTATTGGATTTGGTGGTTCAATAAAATGTTATTTTATTTTTATACTTATAACTTAAACTATCGACCGTCAACTTTCAGAAAATCTTATCAGTGGTGGTAATTGCTCTGATAGCATTTGGTCTGTTCTTATTCACATACAAATCTACTTCCTTCAATCTGTTTGGATTCATCTTGGTAATGGCGGCGTCTGCAGTCGGAGGATTGAGATGGGTTCTTGCTCAGATCTTGTTGCAACGTGACAGTTTAGGTATTTGAGTTATTTGTATTCACAATCTTTACACATATTTGACTATTATCATATCGATTAATTTACATTTTAGCTATTACCTACCACGAAAGAACCTAATTCTGTTTCCCTCTCTAGGTCTAACAAGCACACTGGAGTTTGTTTACTACGTTGAACCCGTAATGGCAGCTTCTATATTACCCTTATCACTTGTAATGGAGGGTTAGTGATCAACTGTACATTTCTCTGATATTTAATTAATAGTGATTAGCAAAGACTGAATAATTGAGTTGTGATGGATATATCTCTCCAGACTCCATTCTCCAAGCTATATTAGTAAAAGCCAGAACTTCCACAATCAACTCTCTCCAGCTGTGAATCTAACACTTCCTCAGGTTCAGACATGGTTTTGTCCCCAGACTTTATCCTAGCAGTCCAGCAAGAGTCACTCCACGTGCTCTTTGTTGTTGGTGTGGGAGCTACTCTAGCTCTGTTCCTCACATTCTCGGAATACCTCCTTCTCTCTAATACAAGCTCCATCACTGTCTCTATATGTGGCATAATGAAGGTGTGGATATTAGTTGATTGTACAGTTGTTTTCAAATTTCAGAAGCCTGAAAATCTTCACACAGTGAACCTTACAATTCCATACTTGCTATCAGATCAGATGCCTGTTTAGTGTTTTATGTTTAAATATCATTTTTTCTAAATATCAACTTATTTTACTAGCTTCAGCCTTCATGTTATTTCAGGAGATTTTGATATTAGGGCTAGCATCAACAGTGGGCGGAGACCGACTGTCTCCTGTTAATATGATTGGTCTAGTTGTCTGCCTATCTGGCATCTCCTTACACGTATACTTGAAATACAAATCCAGCCGATGTAAGTCAACTTTATTTCCGTGTTGAAATTTGAACTGGGTTTTTTTGGTTGATTTAAAGTCAATTTGGGTTTTAACTAAGTGTGAAGGTGTTCATGTTGTTAAGAAAAGCATCTGATGTAGGATATATAAAAGTAATATTTTATAAAGCTTTTTCATCATTCTAATTCTATTGAAAACATTATTTAAAATATAATGATACAACGTGTAATGGAATGTTCACCACAGTTAAGGACCTCAAGTCCTCTAAGTCACACACCCACAACACCAATAACCATCCAGAATCCTTTGAACTCAATACTTATACCGGTAACTTTGTGTGTGTTATGTTCGCATCGCAGTTTTGGATATTTCAAATCTGAGTTGATACAATACCCAGGGAGTTAAACTCAAAGTCAGACCTTCCGCTGGTAGAAATCTCACCAATCAGATATAGTTCACATTGAGATATCGTTTCAACTCAGATTTGAATCATTCTGTTTGGCACTGTTCGTTTGCATTAATTCAGAGTGCTTTAAACTGTGCACGCATTGATTTCTTAACCAGTACCACACTTAAATACAATCAAAGTGTTGTTTGACGAGTGAAAGTTTACACAATATTTGTTATGGTGTGCTATCAGCTGTCTGCATGTACTTCTTTCAGCTAACTTGGTATGTCAGCTTATCTTATAGCTTGTCAATGATAACATCTTATAGATGATCAAGATTTATCTTCGCTGCACCCTCATTCTCTATCTTAATACTACCATATTCCTTGAAATATATTCGATCTGTAAATCAACCTGGTATTACTGGTAAAATTGCGGTCGAAACAGATGATCTCTCTGTTACATCACTTACAATTTGTGCAGATGAGTAATTGAAAACATGTCCGTGGTCCATGGTAAGAAGCCACGTACGAAACAGAAGCCTCAGGGATATTTGTAGCATTTCGACGACCCCATTTCGATGGCACTTGAAAGTTGCAGCCTGCCTGTAACTTTTCAGAGTCCCCTTATCCCACTGAAATTTGGATACGCTTCAGAATTTGGCGGAAAATTAACATTTGTTCTAAATAATAACAAACTGTCGAAATTTTATTTATTGCCTGAAATACCCCTGACATAATAGGTTATTGCTTATTGCTAACATAATTAGCGATTGTGCTTTTAACGGAAAATCTCGATTTTGGAAAATGTATCCTGATTCCTGACGGGGTAGCATTTGGAACTCTATTCTAGCATGATTGATTATTTATAATAAATGCCCGCTATGAGCCAGTAGCATGTTCTGAGAGGAATTTAACACAGTAATAATTAACAGTAACCTCCGTTCAGTGGTTGCTGAGGTTGAGAGACAGGGGCTACTGGATAGTGACTCATCCTCAAGCTATACACATGAGCCTGATATTGGTGGAAAATGAGGATCTCTAACTAATAGACGTACTACGATTCTACATAATGAAATATATTTAAAGTGTAAAGATAATATATTATTATATTGTCCTTGTCTAACATTTTGATGTTTATTTATTTGTTAGGGTTTGTTTTGTAAATTCTGCATTGCTATTTGCCTGCTAATTACTAATCGAATTACTTTGACACGTAACGTATGTATTTGAGAGCAATGTTTTTTACACAAGGAAGCAATTAAAGTTCTTTAAGTTACGCATTTTGATGTAATTAAACGTAAATGATACTGCTAACCTTTATCTGCCAAACTTTAGATTGCTAGATTGCTTGATACGGTTACGACTTTGTATTGACTGGTTTGAAATTCTTATATTAGCCGGTAATTTGTGTTTATTCAGTTAACAGTTTAACAGTTCAGTTTCTGTAACAGTTTAAGATAAAATCAGCTCTTTTTAATTAGATGCAATGTACAGTATGGGAAATATCTCTTAGATAAATTAATACTGCCTTGGGCTGTAGTTTAATAGTTGATAAAACTTATTTTAATTTAAAATTAAATTTTGATTTTAACAGTTTCAGTGTACAATTAACTGTTCAGATCTCACTCATTGTTAAAAATTCATTCTGGGAATAGTTAGTTATATTACTTCTTTTAACAAATGTATAGCATATTAATCCCAAAACCGTGTACGTTGCATATTTTGCTCAAATATTTAAAGTCGGAAAGATAGATAAAATTACACAACCAAAGTCATTTTCCTCATTAAATTCTAACAGTTACACTGCACATTTCAAAACACTATTTAACTAGTGGTGATCGAATAAAATAAAGTTTCGTAGAAAATTTCAACGTTATAAAGTTTCAAAAAAGTCTTAAGTGGCCAGAATCTGGCTTACGCAACGATTGAACGAAATGAACATGTACAGCTAACTGTCTCTTAAATACACATTGAATTTGTAATTGGCTTACTTAGAATTGGAATGAATTGAGATGATCTCAATACTGAAGGAGTGATGAAGTATTTGAACTGTTAGAGTGACGACTTGCATTAGTACTGTGTGTAGCAGCCTGACTCTCGAACATTCTCCTGTCCTCCAGAGCTGACACAGTGTAACTAGACCTGCTCTCCAGACACAACACTCTCATCACACACTCTCGACACTGTTTTATCACTCCTATTATACTCATCAAGATAACGATTATAATTACTCCTGCAATTATCAGTATATTCGTCATCAGGTGCATGTCTTTAGTTTCGTCCCTTATCTCTATGCCTGGTTCAGTATAGAGGGTACTTTCTTCCAAGATAACGTTATCAGTTTCTGTTATCTCCACCTGCTCCGGGTAACACATCTTGCCGTCGTGCAGGTTGGTAAAACCCACAAATTGGATTTGTTTAACGATGTTAAAGCAGCCTAATTGGTGAATGTTCCACGACAGTGCTTTGCCCTGGTCCTTGTCGTGTATTTTAACTGAATCTTGTTGAAAGTGTATTCGCCACACTTTGGTGGACATGGCCGAGGGTACGTCAGATCCATCAAACTGCAGTTCTGTTAACTGACTTCTTTCTTCACCTGAACACAAAATATCTTACTCATCTTTTCAGTATAAAATTAAGTTAAGTAAAAATATTAAGTACATACCTTGAGTATCTTCCTATCGTCTACAAAAACAATTCGGATCTTGAATGTTTATCAAAACATTCAAGATGTATTTAAATACATCAAGATGTATAAATGCATCAAGATGTATAGATATGTATAAAGAATAAAGATGTATAATATATATATATATATATTCATCAAGATTCATAAATACAACTCTTAAAGCTAATTATCCAGCTAAGTTACTAAGTAAAGAGACTAAGTAAAATCACTAAATAAGTTAAATAATAATACTGACCAACACACTTGACGTCAGCTGCTGTACCATCTCTTCTGATAAAGAGAGACAGTAACAACTCTTGTTCCCCACTGTAGAACATAACTCCCCTGGTATAGTGAGATAATTGCGGGTGTGTCAGATATAACTCCTGTGTAGGACTGTACTGTGTTAAACAGGAACATTGGGTGCAGCAGCGGGTTGTGAACCACGTGCTGTTACACGTGGTTGTCACGTGAGGGAGAATGAGGAGGAGGAGTAAGGGGGAGATCATGGTGACACTGAGAAGTTGGGAGGTTAAGAGAGATAGAGTGGTGGGAATATATTAAAGTTCAGTTTGAAAGAAAGGAAAACTTGGTTATTTTGATTCAAACACAGAAAGATAGATACAGCTGGTAAAATCAGCCGGACAGAACTACTCTAAAAGTTTATAAACGATGAAACAAACTAATAGTTCAAAAATAGACTCTTAAGTTGTTCTATAAAAGATATACCAAAATTGGACTAACGCTTTAAAGGTTAATAAATTTGCACGCCGACAAATTAATTTGGAACAAAATAAAAGAAACAGTGCTGCATTTAGCTGCTGCGGGGAAACCTTACAGTTATTCCCTGAGAATATTCGACAACTCCTATTCTACGAGCCAGCTAAATTGGCCCATTAACTCATAGGACAATTTAACACGGCTGAGTCTGCCATAATTTTCCGTCTCCAAACCGTTAGCACCCCAACAAATTGAGAAACAGGACCAATAGGATGGACAGCGAGTTAGTAGAGAATATTATGTGCTTTGCAATCTTGCTGCAAAAGTTGCAAACACAATTGATGCATCGAATTAAAAGTAATTATCAGCCTGCAGGTTACGATGAAAGATAATTGGTTTGACATTAAATTTAATTTTGGGAGGAGTCGTGGCACTTCCGGGATCATGTACTGTATCAGATTTTATTTGTTAATAATAAGTGTTCCAAGTTCAGATTATTAATATCTCCATTTAAATCATAGTGTGGTATGATAATCAATACAATTTCCTGTATTTCTATTGTTCACATTGTTCAGCAATATACAGTATAATATACAATTTATACATAAATATGCATTAATCACATTATGTGTTGCACCCACTATAGCTGCCTCTGTCAAACTTTCCAAACAGTAATAGATCTAAGAGTAAAATGCTTAATAAATTATTGTGTAGTTGAGATCTGAGCTGCTAGCTTTAAGGAGCATTAGTAAGAGGTACCTAAAGTTTCGCTTTTCGCTATTTTAATATTTATTTACAATTTTTTTCCGATCCATGACTCAAGTGCCGAAGGCACAAAAGAGTCAAGGACAAGGGTTAGCGATCGAGGTTTTTTTTGGGATATGGTAGCTTTGCGACCGTACCTGCGTGCGAGCGTGCGTGTCTGCGTACGTTTCGCCCACGTGTCTGCCTGCGCAAAGTTATTTTGCGCGAAAATCTGAATTAAACAATTGTTGGCGCGCGGTGCTGAAATGTTCAAGTACATTGTTAATTTCATCATGTACGCATCCCGCTAGGGACTAATTGATAGCATATTATTATTATTTTGAGTTAGTATTACTATTTTGCACAGATCCGTGTCAGGTTGCATAAACAATAAACATATGGTTACATAGAAATATACACGATTTTCAAATTAAATATGGAATTATATCAACTGGGCGGCGCTCGGCCTGTCACTCCGCCATATCTGCATGCTTATAAACAGTAAAGACTGGGGTCCACAGGTGGTATGGAATATGATCAAATACTCCATCACGGATCGGGAAATTGAGCGGCCATCCACAAAAGAAAAGCGGCCGCATTTCTTGTTAACTAATATGGTGATAATAAATCTTATTGATGAAGGAGATTCAATTACAGATCTAGATAAAATATTGAACTTGATAAGTGTGGTAGGTCCTTGTGCCCCAATGAATAACCTACTTGAGCTGTTAGTGGAGCCCGGTTTTACAAATTAAAAAGATCGTTGAAGGGATCATTTACAAACCTTTGTCTCGCTATCGCAGAGTGTTTAAAGATGGATCGTACCCACCTAAAGATTCTAATAGGCGATGTATTCTCAATGTTTGTGGCAAATTTGTGCCCCCATTTGTGGCGACCTTGTCCCCATCTATTCAGTGTATGTGTTTGATATATGATGATTACAGTAGTTGATATGAAGGTAGGATTTTTACTAAAAATTGTGCAGCTGGCCATTTGTGTCCCTCTTGTGAGTTGTAACGCGGTTAATTTGGGGTCGTTCACATATTACGTAATATTTTTTGGGAAAATGTTTATCCCCCCCCCCCCCCCCTCCGTAATCAGTTTGATAGCTATTGTGTCAAGATTACACTAGCGTATTATCATTTGGAAACTCCCCTCGGCTGATTATGTAATATGTGAACGACCCCTTAATAGCTCAAGTCAGAATAAGTTACAATTGAAAATATAATAATGCTGGTAATAGCTCAATAATCGGCAAATTACAAGATTCACATTCCAATAAGACAAAATCCGACAAAACACCCTCAGGGATTATAAAACTGGTCGCGCCAGAATTGGGAAATATGATGGACGCGGGGTATAATTTGTAGAGACCTCCGCGCCACAAAGAGATTAGCTGTCATGCAGATCATGCACGCGCGTACGTCATACCATATATAATATATGCATATCATAACGCGGAAAATCGCGTTAAAGTTGATGCCGTGGTGTCAGTAAAATGGCACAGATCCATATATATATATATATCCGATATCGTCTCGCTTTATATATAGTAAGATATATATTAGGACGTCCGCCAAAATCGCAGATTTTCAGACCTACCGGCTCCCCCTGCCCTGTACCAGGTGTGTCAGAATTTTCAAAACCACCCCTCTCCTCCCCGGGACGTCCGGATATTCCTATTAGTATTATAGTCAACTCTGTCACAAGTATAAACATGTTACGTGATCTGATCAAGATCATGCGCTATCTGAAATCTCCTATTGATAGGTTTAGAAGTAGGCATCTTCACGGCCATCACGCAATCTGCGGACCACCTCCTTGACTGCACCAGTCTATTATTGAGTTAGAGTTTTCTGCACTGTATCAGTGTATCCAGGAGTAGGGGGCTTGTTTGGAAGGGTGTCTAGGAAGTTTCCAAGAGATGTCAAAGTCCTTTGAGTATTGACAATTTTTGAGAGAACATTCCAGAGTCTTCCAGCTCTCACTGCGAATGAGTGGTCGTAGGTGGAGCGTGCAGCAGCTGATGCTTTTTTTTGTGAGAGAAGCGAGTATAACTTTAACTCCTAGTCTGGCATTCTCTCTGAACTGTACATCTAGGTCAGGGTCAATTGGACATATACCCTGGAGAACTGGGGGGGGGGGGGGGGGGGGGGGGGCAACCATATTAAAGTATATTAAAGTATATCCCCGGGTCAAAATCGGAAAAAATCCTACATTTTAATATACTTTAATATATGTACCTACAATTAGAAGATTTATATTCTTCGTTAAGATTTACATGATGAACTATATTTTTCACTCAGATTCGCAAGATAAGCCTGTTTTAGGACTAGTACATGAATTTCCATCCAGATTGGTCAAAAATTGGCTGAGCTATGAGCTTTAAAAAATATGCCCATATTTGGGCATACGCTTTTGCCCAAATTCGCTTTTGCCCAAATTCGATAAAATTTCAATATTTTTTAATGAGACTAACTCTATGTGAAAGATATAACTCAGTGTTTGTTGAATATAGTGGATACTAAGTAAAAAGACCTCCATGAACAAAATTGGGAAAATTTCACATAATATCTCGGTTCGGAATACTAGCCAAAATGACTTCATTAAAATTGAAATAACTCCATCAGTTTTCAATATTTTTTCAAGAACTTTTTGGAATCGATTAAGAATTGCATTTCAAGCTTATTTTGGGCAACAATTTTTGATGTAGGCCTCCAAGGAGATAGGGATATATTAAAGTATATTGTAGGTATATTAAAGTATATTAAAGTATATCCCCGGGTCAAAATCGGGAAAAATCCTACATTTTAATATACTTTAATATGGTTGGCCCCCCCCCCCCCAGAACTTTCCGCAGATGTATGATGGTGTAGCGTTCTCGGCGTCTTTGCAGTGATGTAAGTTTCAGTTCCTTCAGTCTATTCCAATAATCGGTGTCTCTGAGCCCTAGAATCCGTCTAGTGAACTGGCGTTGTATGCTCTCGATAGACTGGATATCATAGATCTTGTTTGGATTCCAAAGCGGGAATTACCAGGAGAAAAATTATGGAACATTTTACAATTAGCGATAAGGCGTCCAGTAAATTTCCGTTCGAATAAAGTCCGATAAAATACTCTGCGTGATATTTAATTGTAATACTAATAGTAATAGTGCGCCATCAATTACGTAACACGTTATCATGCCGTCAAGCTGCGGGGTCCTCAGAGTTTTAAATGTCTTCAGTCTTACTATGCCAGAGGAAATGAATCGAACCGGAGTGACCTGATGGCAATGTCCACCACTGCAAACGCTAAACCATTTTGTGGGATGTTAAAGGCTTACCAATCACAAAAAATTAATATGAGTTAGACCCTTCAAGTTTTAACAATTATATAGGCTTGGCTGGATCTTGATAATGAATTGGTCCACTACCGAGTATTACTGATTACGGAGCAAGATAAGCATAAAGAAAAATAAAAGCATCTGTAATATCAAATATATAGCGCCATGCTTGACCTCGTCCATCGTCACTTTCACTGTTCACGGATCACGCGCGCACGCGTTCTCCATGGCAACATAACAGGGCGCTGTCAAAAGCTTCCCTCGCACGTGAAACCTCAGTTCTGTGATTGTTTCTAATAAATTCGGTTGCCGTCCACCCGTTCGTTCGTTTAGTAAAGGAAAACATAAAACTTAAAGTTAATCAACATTCAACAATTGTCCGTCATTCAATTCATTATGGGACAGACAATCAGCAAAGAAGCACTGAGTGACAATGTAAGTAAATTGTTAATCCTTTCCGGCCTGTTTAGTGTTCAGTGATAGTTAACACAATTCAATTTCATTAGTTTTCTTGAAAACTTGATGTGCATCTTTTATTTTGAAACCACGAAAACTATTTTCGGTAAACCGATTTGTTTATAAGGTTTTTTTTTAATAACTTTAGCGAAGGGCAGTATTTCAGGTTACACTTACATTGGCCATTGCATCATTTGAAGTTCAAAGTTCAACTGTTTAGATTTTACTAGTTTTAATTTTGATTAAGTTCATAGCCAACATTTTTACAAGCCGCAGTTGTTTTTGTCAGTTGCAATCTCAAATAGGGTCAAGCGAACACCAAACTACGGACCAGTTTCTGAACTATTTTTTCTTACAGGATTCGCATTTGACAAATAAGAAAAAGGAGAAGGTCGAAGAGCGTAAACTTGTCAAAACGTCTCTTGAATCGCCTGAATCTCTGTCACACTCAAAGCCTCGTGGGTTTCAGTACATTCAGGATGAAGAATCTTGGTGCCGGCCGGTATGTTTAAAAAAAGTTTACCCGCTTTAAATGGTGGTTTTGATTTCAATCATACAAGCTGTTATTTGTAGCCTAGCTTTTGGCTTTGTCCCTTTGAATTGAATGATCTAAATTTGATGAAGTGATCACTATAGTTAATTGCGGTAATAGAGGTTTTTAAAATCATGACATTCTCAACTGATTACTATAACAAATGTTATAATCCTAACAAAATTTTAGCAGCAAGCCAAGTTTTCGTGCGAAGACCAGAAAATATTGGAACCTGCATTACCTTCACTAACAAAAAAAGAGGAATCAAAAGAGCAGTTTCAAGATGAGGAGACAAAGCACTGTCCTCCAGAAGAAAGAATAGAAAAACTCGAACAAGAGATGTGGAATAAGGATGCAGAAAACGCGAGCCTTAAGTCACAAATCACTCGATTGAATGAGACAGTTGCCTTCGAACAAAGAAAACACCAGCCAAGTACTGACAATGGCCAAGCTCATGCTACCCCTACAAGCGTAGAAACTTTAACTAATAATTCTGGCATCGCTTTTGAGTCTAACTCTGACGTCGAGGTTAATGCAGAAAACGCGAGCCTTAAGTCACAAATCACTCGATTGAATGAGACAGTTGCTGAAGAGCAGCAAAAGACTTGTCAAGAACAGTGGAATCTCTACTATGAACAGGTGAAAACCCAAGAGGAGATAGAAAAGAGTAAGCTTCTACAAGAGGAACTGTCGAAAGTAAAAGAAGAGCTATCCAATATTACAGCTCGAACTACAGTTGCAAGTGAAATGAACCCAATGGACTGCTCGAGTGAATCTGAGGTAAGACCTTGTTCAAGATTGAGTCGTTATAGTTTAACTGCCTTAAAACCATTACCATACTAATCAAGGGGTTCAGCATGGAGTATTATCAAGCCAGTACACAGTAGCGTAAGCCGTAATGAGCATAGTTGATAGTATAGAGGTACAGATCATAAGTTTTTCTATTGATTGATTTTTAATAGGATGCAGAAAACGCGAGCCTTAAGTCACAAATCACTCGATTGAATGAGACAGTTGCTGAAGAGCAGCAAAAGACTTGTCAAGAACAATGGAATCTCCACTATGAACAAGTGAAAACCCAAGAGGAGATAGAAAAGAATAGGCTTCTCCAAGAGGAACTGTCAAAAGTAAAAGAAGAGCTATCGAATATTACAGCTCGGACTACAATTGCAAGTGAAATGAATCCAATGGACTGCTCGAGTGATTCTGAGGTAAGACCTTATTAAAGATTGAGTCTTTTTAGTTGAATGCCTTAAAACCATCAACCATGACCATAATTCCAAATTCTAATCAATAAAGTATTAGCAAGCCAGTACAGAGTTGCGTAATGAGCATAGCAAAGATATGTTTTGTATATTAATTGGTTTTTGTTTACTATTTTCATTAATACAATTACAAGTACATTACGAAACAGCAAATTTGTCAGCAGATTGCAAATTCTAAATAGAATTTATCTGTTTTCAGGCCACTCTAGTTAATTTTGATGCACGATGCGTTCTGATCGAACAAAGAAAACACCAGCCAAGTACTAACAATGGCCAAGCTCATGCTACCCCTACAAGCGTAGAAACTTTAACTAATAATTCTGGCATCGCTTTTGAGTCTGACTCTGACGTCGAGGTTAATGCAGAAAACGCGAGCCTTAAGACACAAATTACTCGATTGAATGAGACAGTTGCTGAAGAGCAACAAAAGACTTGTCAAGAACAGTGGAATCTCTACTATGAACAGGTGAAAACCCAAGAGGAGATAGAAAAGAGTAAGCTTCTCCAAGAGGAACTGTCGAAAGTAAAAGAAGAGCTATCGAATATTACAGCTCGGACTACAGTTGCAAGTGAAATGAACCCAATGGACTGCTCGAGTGATTCTGAGGTAAGACCTTATTAAAGATTGAGTCTTTTTAGTTGAATGCCTTAAAACCATCAACCATGACCATAATTCCAAATTCTAATCAATAAAGTATTAGCAAGCCAGTACAGAGTTGCGTAATGAGCATACCAAAGATATGTTTTGTATATTAATTGGTTTTTGTTTACTATTTTCATTAATACAAGTACATTACGAAACAGAAAATTTGTCAGCAGGTTGCAAATTCTAAATAGAATTTATCTGTTTCAGGCCACTTTAGTTAATTTTGATGCACGATGCCTTCTGATCGAACAAAGAAAACACCAGCCAAGTACTGCCAATGGCCAAGCTCTTGCTACCCCTACAAGCGTAGAAACTAATGATTCGGGCATCGCTTTTGAGTCTGACGTCGAGGTTAATATTTAATTTATTCATCTTTTCGGACGTTTTAATAAATAAGCCATCTTTCATATTTTGTATTTTGGTTTAACGGGTGATACTCGTAAAATATCTGTTCCATATATATAACTCGGCGCGCGTCCTGGTAGGTTGTAAACCTACAAATTTTGGTCAGCAATCATCCGGCATCCCTGATCGATTTTTTCGAGCCAATTCAATTTGCAAGTTACATTTCAATTTCCAAATAACCATTCAAAACTTAAAATCTCCTCGATACATTAACATTTGACTAACTAAATAATATATATAAGTGTTAAAGGCCAAGTAAAGAAATGCTTTTAGAAATATTCAAGGGTTAAAATTTCGATTTACGACTCAATCACAATTTTGGCATGGGTGATCAAACCGGATCAAACCAGATTAAATCAGTCATAGAGGTGCATGGTTACGCGTAGCAACGTTTTTACGTAGTTTTACCTGCTCCTTAATAAAACTTTTTGATTTGCGCGAATTTGTAATTTTGTCAATCAGTCATAATCCACTGCGCGGCGCGCGCACTTATTATTATATAGTTTTACTTGCTTGTAATTGTAAAAATAATTTTTGTGATTGAGCATTAAATAAAAAAGTTCATTATTGTGCATGTAATTTTTAGTTCGATAATTTCTTTGCGTTATAGCTAATTTTAAATTGTATGAATATTTTTTTTTCCATCTTCGTTTAAAAGTGACCAAATTATATTTTAAACATTTATGCGCGCGCTAATTCACGCCAGGCCCTGGGTTATCATATGACTGAATATAGTAATATAAGTTTTTGAACAATGCAATGACCCATTGCCTTGTCGTGCTTGCGAACACTGCTTGCGAACTTACAAGGACCAATAACTAAACTATACAGATAAAGGGTTGATCGTAATTCATATGTTTAATTTTACCAAAACCCATAATCATGGGTAGAGTGGACCGCTGTCAGTGTCTCTCTTTCCCAAACAAAAGGAAATGATATTACTTTGATTGACCGTTCTCAAATGCAAAATGATACCGAGAATGAAATCGGTCGCTCGCTTTTCCCATTCATTCACGGCTTACGAATTGTAGGTAATAAGTTTCGATTGATTACATCAATCAGATGCTGTAAAAATCTCTTTGGGTTGCGTTCGGGTCGATACCTAGTATTTCGGGGTAAGGGTGGTAGTTATTAGTATTACTTATTGAATTAGCTGAAGTTTATTGAATCTTCATTGCCGAGTACAGCTGCCTTTGGGTAGTTTTTCTTAATCTATTACAATTGTAAATGAATGGGAAAAGCGAGCGACCGATTTCATTCTCGGTATCATTTTGCATTTGAGAACGGTCAATCAAAGTAATATCATTTCCTTTTGTTTGGGAAAGAGAGACACTGACAGCGGTCCACTCTACCCATGATTATGGGTTTTGGTAAAATATCATCTCTTTTTTATTATAATGTCAGGGTACTTTATAAAGTCGAAATATAAACTGATATCTTCATTAATAAGGAGGAAGTTTCAACGATTTCGAAATCTATCCTTTAAAAACATTTCCTTGTGTTTAGGGAAGCATATCGGTCGATCACTGACTGAATATGCCACTTAATACTCATTCAAGTTGGCATTAAATTCATATATAATGACATTAAACTGTCGTGGCAAAGCAGAATTTGTTGGAAATCACGAATGAGCAAAATTCTCACCTTTCGCACGTGCAAACTTTGAGCAGACGTTGCGTGCGCATCCAATATTGAATGGCCGTAAATTTTTGCATGTAATTGTTTTATATATCGCTTGATAAGCATGCAAAGTTTCAAAGTATTTTAAGAAGAACTGTAATTACAACGGCACTCTAAAGTTGACAGAAAATGACGAAAACAGCAATTTTCAGTGATTTTAGCGATTTTCTATCAATTTGGGCGTGTCCCAACGTGTGCAACTTTTCGATTTTCAACTTTAAAACTAGCCTATGACACAATTTATACCTATAGGAAGCAGAACTGAGCTCCACAACCCAAGGCATGGCCCAACACCAGAGAATACTAAATCGCAAAATTGACGTTTTTATAAAATAATTCTTCAAAAAAGCACAAACTTCAATGACGAATATCTTTATGAAGGAGCAAGCTAGAAAAACTTTCCGGTAGATTTTCAGAATGCTTGAACAATTATCTAAGGTGAAATATTCCTCAGATTTTGAATAAAATTACTCCTTAATGGTTTAAAATTAATTTTAAAAGTTATTACTTTGTCGAAAATCAAGTTTTAAAAACGGTTAACTTGATGACGTCATCAAGGGGTGTTTATGACGTCATATAATTTTTTTATACAATGTAAACTAAAGTATAAACAATTATTTGCAAGACCTGTGGTCGGAAATGGCTGTATCTTTTATACTTTTGAATCTATGGACAATTAAATACAGGCTACAATTGACTGGCAAAGCGTCTATCCCTGAATATATATATATATGTATATATGTATCACGACAATCTATCGTAAAACAGGGGTTCTAGAAAACCCACTTCCCGATGCTCCTGAAACCTGAAACTTTTTTTGCAGTCGATTTGGTCAACGTCTAGACGCCCTAAAAAATTTCAGATCTCTAACTCAATTTTAACATGGTTTTTAAGGCACCTGAATATGGCGATTTTGGGTTTTTTACCGAATTTCGTATAACAGTGCTGGCGAGTATTTTTACTATTTTATGCAAATTTCTTAAAAATCTCAACATAACTATTTTTATTCCTGTCATCTTTGACATCAAATTAGAATGTTTTGAACTAAAAATAAATCTGCTGAACGACTTCCGATGAGTCTTAATGCCTGAAAAACTCCTGCCGGAGGCGGCGGCCTTCGGCCGCCGCCTCCGGCCGGAGTGCACGCTTCGCGTGCACGAAAGAGGCTTCCGACGAGTACCAAAGGGGTTATAATAGTAAAGGGGGTATAATAGTAAAGGGGGTACAATAGTAAAGGGGGTTCATAGTATACCCCCAATAAAGACACCGCTCGTGCTTGCCAGCACTGTGATATTTATCTTATTAGGTACCCGTACTATGTGAAAATGTCGGCAAGGACAAAACGAAGTTCAAACTAGTCAACCCTGAATCTAGTTCTACGATCACTGATAACGTAGATCTCGAAGACAAAACCTCTATTGCCCTGTGTAAAGCGGAAAATGAGAACAAACAATTGAGAAACTACATAAACGATCTTCAACTTTCATACGACGAAATTAGGAATTATTATTTTGACCTGTGTGAGAGATACCAGGGAGTTGAGCACGATAGATTTTGTTTGGTTGAGCGAGTTAATGGTTTAATCGGTGAGTCCTTTTTTTAGTACCTGCAATTTTGTTGCTGCTCATTTTGCCATCTAATTATTGAACACGATTTTACGAACTTGAAACAATTTCTTAGTTGTTCGTTTCTAGTTAACAAACCGTTTTTTCACTTTAGGCGAGTCCAAAGAAAAGTTTAAAGCAGTCGACCCTGAATCTACAATCATCGATGAAACAGATCTCCAGGACGACACCTCTATTGTCCTGTGCAACTGCAACGCAGATAAAGAGAACAAACAGTTGAGAAATTATCTTCAACTTTCATACGATGAAACTAAGCTCAGAGAAAATCAGTATCTTGACCTGTGTGAGAGATACAAGGAAGTTGAGCATGATAGATCCCGTTTGGTTGAGCGTGCAAATGATTTATTCAGTGAGTCCTTTTTTTTGTATCTCAAATTGGTTGTTACTCTTAGTATTGCTAGTCCCATGCATAAGTTATATCAATCTGCATCGAAATTGAAAATAGGTGAAAACTTAAAATGTAATAAGAAGCATATCAAAAACAGGTTGAAATTAGATTACATGATGATTGCTAATTTTGCCTGCTTGTTATTAAAAACGATTTCACGAACTTGATACAATTTCTTGGTTGCTCGCTTCTTACTGAGCTGTTTCTTCAGAAACCAACCAAGAGCACGAAAAAGAGATGACGACATTGCGTGACTTGAATAGGAGATTCAAAGAGTGTCTTACCGAGATGCAGTCTGAATTTAGCGATGTCGAGGATCACAACAAAAAAGTGTTCCAGAATCTAAACACCGAGAATGAAAACCTGCATAAATATAAACGACTCGTCGAGTCGCGGTCAGATGTTTGTGCAATGGATGATCAGGTCAACTACAAAGATGTGGTTCAGAACCTTACCAACGACTATAACAACCTGAATAAACAATTCTTCGAGTTACAGTGTAGTTTCCATGCCATGGAGGTCGGCAACAAAGAAACAGTTCAGAACCTAACTGTGGAAAAAGAGAAGCTGACTGCGGACAATGTCGAGTTACGATCAAGTTTTTATGCCATGGAAGTCAACTACAGAGAGGTGGTTCAGAACCTTACTGTGGAAAAGGAAAAACAGTCTGCGGACAATGATAATCTCAAAAAACAAGTTGTCAAGTTACGATCTAGTTTTTCTCTAAAGGAGGAAGAGTACAAATTTGCAGTCGACACCAAGACGGCGGAGAATCAGAGTCTAATCGAGGAGAAAGTAAATTTGCATAAAAAGCTAATTACTTTCATAAAATGTCAAGTGTAATGACTTAACCTATGTGCGAACCTTAAACAGCACTAAAGTCTGAACCAGTTTTCCGATAAAAGAACAGAGATGATGAAATTTGACAGCACCTGTGATACATCATAACCCAACTCAAGTCTTAAATCCAATTTGTGAAAGTCTGCATCACAAGCACCTCCCAAAACACCAAAAAGTGTGCAGATGAAGAATGAAGATGGAACAAACGTAAACCGAAGAGAAGATAAAGACATAATATTGACGCGAGGACCTTTAAAAGGTGGATTATTATTTCAAGTTTAATATTGGATATTTGGCCGAGTTATAAAGTGCTACTTGATGATGTCAAGTTACTCTGATGAAATTGCCCACGTTTCGTCTATTTTATTAGCTTGATGTGATCATATTATGAGGATATAAGAAACTCTTCACTCCTGGACAATAACATTTCTGAGCACAAGTTCATGTTGTGCAAAATTTCAAATCTATATGGAGAGAATAAATACGTTGCTCCATACCAGATCAGTGAACAATTTCTTTAGAAGAATTAAGGAACTTTCAATTTCAAGTCGAAATTGAAAGCCTGATAGTAAAAAGTATGAAGTTACTTTTATTGTTACAAATTACTTGTTTTGTGATCTCTATGTGATATAAGACGAAGAAATGTTAGTATCAAGCGACATGATATTGATAGATATTAGACGTTATTGTTACTAGCAGGAACCCGTATAACCCTAAAATGGTGTCAAGACTCAAGAGACTAAAATAATTATACCTATTTAATTTGCGTTTTTGACACCACTTGGGGGTCCAAATTTTGGGCTCTAAAACTCCTATTCCTTGGCCAATTTTTTATTTTTTCATGCTGATTTGGAGGCCATTAAACCATTTGACCCAGTCAAAAAAAGTTTCAGTTGTATATCTTTTACGGTTTTTGCGGAAAGTCGCGTTAAAGTTGATGCCGTGGTGTCAGTAAAATGGTACAGATAAACACATCCATATATATCGTCTCGCTTTATATATAGTAAGATAACTATAAGACGCGATATTGTATGAATAGATATGATGTTATTTAATAATAAGAATTGATCCGATTCTAAGCAATAATAGTTATAGTGACGGGATTACTCTGGTTAACCTATTTTTACGAGTGGAGGGAGCTAGGGGCGAGACACACCCTCACAATTTCTAACAATTTCAATGACTCATACAGTTAACCGAAACCTAGCTCTTAGTTCTGAGAATTATTCTCTTGGAGGCGGGAGTAAGTTAGTAGGGGATATTTAATACAACTTACCTTTTTTTGTTCAATAAACCCGAAACCTAGCTCTTAGTTCTGAGGATTATTCTCTCAGAGGCAGGAGTATAAGTTAGTAGGGGCTATCTAATACAACTTACCTTTTTTGTTCAATAATCCAGAAACCTAACTCTTAGTTCTGAGAATTATTCTCTCAGAGGCGGGAGTAAGTTAGTAAGGATATAGAAATTTTTAATTAATCATTGAATTGTGCGACTCTTGAAGCTGAAAATGTGTTTCGCCTCCCCCTCTCCCTATATGACAACGATTATGAATGATGAATATTAACAACACAGATAGAAATACTATATATATACATATTGGTTTTCAATATTATCATCTTTGGGTAATTTTACTTTTGCGAATCCGGTAATCTTTGTATTTATTTTTCTTGAAACAAAAAGTGGAAAAACGTTTTGAAAATGAATAACTAAAAACAATTTCAACGAAATGAGACATCCTATTATCAGAGCATGTTTCAATTTGGAGACAAGGAATGAATTTAGATTCCTGCCTATTTTATGGTCTCACGACTCACATGTCCCGATTTCTATTCCATGAACAATGATATAGTAGCCCCCTCAGAGTGAAAAAGTTAGATACACTAAGCGTCTACATTAACAAAAGAAGAATAGTTCAATCATGTCATTGGAAACAAGACGATAGTTTTAAGCATGGTGCGTTTAAAATGAGGCATCATTTTATCAAAAATTGTAACCGATCGTCATATCCCCAGATGTCTCCTTTTATTTTGGTGATTTTCCATTTAAATATCACAGCTTTCTTCGGTAATCTATTATGTCTTGTGTCCTTTTAGAAAAATCTCGAAGATCGAATGTAGAGTGATTTAGCACGCTCGCATTGGTCATCTGCCAAAAATTTAGTAAAAACTTCGGCAATCTAGCTTTCAGTTCCTCAGTCGTGTACCGGGCGCATCCTCCCCAAATTGTTGTGGATGGAAAACATTTGAAGTATATGTGACGTTTGACATAGTAGAAATGACGTTTCCCGAAGGGTGGGAAAAGGTGACCGCATGTTGTACAATAGGAAGAGCACTCGTTCAACAGTAACATTATACCCTAACTGTCCTCTGAGTAGTCTACAAAACCATGACATACTACCAGTACCGGCACAGTGTATCGTAACAATCGCACCTCTAATTGCTCAGGTTTGTATTTTGCTTCGTGGTAATTATTTTGTCGGTTCAATAATTTCCAATATTTTCTAACAAACCAGAAACTCCACTCTCTAGTACACCATCATGAATATTAGATCTGTTCGAGAGGTAATCCCGGTTTCTTTCGGCTTTTAGTTATACTAATCAAATTTTTCACCCATATTAAGAGTGCGTTTGAAAGTTTGAAACAATTATGCGATTTCAGTTAACTTACGTTTTGTAAAGTTACACTTCCTAGTAGCTCACTGCTTACTTGCCCAGTAAAGGACGTATGTAAAAATTGAGACAGCTCGGCAATATTGACCCCGGGCAAAGACCTGCAATATATTCACCCCATTCACCCACCCTCATAATATGGCCAAGTCAACTGGGGATCTTACCCTTTTTTTAGTGAGTGGGCTTACCTCAACAGAGCAAAGAAATATCAGAGTTACATACTCTGTGTTATATTTCATATTACATATTATAATTATATTAATAATAATAATAAATAATTTGATCGACCGCAGTCGGGGAGCCGATTTCGGCCACGGTCCTTTCGGTACAGATTTACCTGCAGTATAGTCGGGACGCAACCCCAGGCATATACACTCGTGTTATTTTCGCAGCTCTAATGAAAGCCACTACCATTTACACCATGGTTTGGTGAGTGAAGGCTGCCCTTCAGTTTTTTGAGATTTTGGCCCAACTGGGATTCGAACTTCCAGGCCAGTAGACAGGCGGATTAAACGACTGAGCCACTGAGCCACACTTTTTACATATTATATTAATGCTTTTTCAAACAAAGTTACAACGAATTCTTCATGTAGTGCATCCTGGGTTTGGACATGATATGCCCGTTTAAAATATTTCCATCACGTTACATTACATAATTCTCAATAAATGTATTTAATTGTAGTTGTGAAATTAGTTTATATGTCCAGTCATTCCAAACCTGCGATTGGCATACTTCCAAAAACCCGATTGCTTTGAAAGTCGGCATGTAACGTGTTATTGTTTCGTGGGTTGCTTAGGGCCTGTCGTGATATCATGGATCGCTTAGGTTCCACCAGGCTCTGGTATTCCTCATAATTCTGCGGCCTATATGTATCGTCATCTCGCACAACTCTTTAAGAATCTTGTGAGTTTGGCATGTGAAAATTTGCAGCCTTCCAGACATTGATTGGGTCAACGAGGTGTTGTACGTCATCTCAAGATCGGGTGACAGGGGGCTGATCAGGCCTTATATGGAATAATATAGTGTATCGCGTGTAATTGGATCCAATTATAGGAGCTGCGCAATTATCGCAGCATATTGATCTGGAATCACATTCTGAAACCCAGCATGCAGCTGGGCCAGAGATTTTAAAATAGAAGGATTATTTGTTAATGAAAATCGAAGTGAAAATCATGTAACCCTGTGTTTACGAATACGAGGACGCTGAACACGATAAAACTGGTTATAATTACCGTACTTCAGGGCAAACTGTTTTAAAATGCACTTGAATGTCATGTATGCTATTATAAGTTAACCGACGCTTAAACATGAATTCAATCAATGACAGCTCTAAGTCTTTAGTCCCTAACACTGACGTGATACCAGAGTCCTTCCTCGTCTGTGTAGATGATAGACCCAGGAAGAATCTACCGCCGGATCAGAGGGAGGAGAGTAGTTGCTCCACGTTTGTTGTTCTGACAAGGGAGGAGGAACCAGGGACATAGATGCAGGGAACTAGGGACATAGATGCGTTACATTGCAGGACAGAGGAACTCAGACTGCAACGAGACTACAAAACCAGTTGGAGCTCGCTGTGTAGTATGTTGGAGAGATATGACCAGATATGCAGTGCATGGAATTTTATATGACTTGGAGCTAGGCATTCTAAAATTGGACGCAGGAGAGACTGGCTTAGCTAAAGACATTACCAAGACTCTCGCACCGTTCAAGACTGAAACTGAGTTTTTGTGTAAAAGAGACAGCATGCTCGCTCAAGCAGAAGGGATTATTAAGTTTATTGACAGTTAGCTCGGGGAAATGGGTCAAACTTAATCCTTGTCATGTCCACCTGTAGGTTCCACCAGGATCTCGAATTTATAACGTTCATTAGTATAGTAGTATAGTGACATTCGAAAACCACGAACTTTCGTTATCGAACTTTAGTACGTAAATCGTCCGATAGTTAGTGAGAAGAGGAGCAATTGGTTTACAATTATAGCTCAAAGCTATCAAGATAAGCCCGAAGTGATTCGACTTCGAATGAAATCTACTGGAAATCCATTCATCACGGCCGTGAATCAAAATAGGATTTCTATCGTGGGAATAGCTACAGAGGTATGGAACTATGATCATTATGAGAAACCCCGGCACCGGTCATATCAGGCGGTTTTTACATTTACGAGCCGACTAGCTCCTAGACAGCTATTGACAGCCCGACAGCGTGGCTCACTGAAATTTGAACTGTGACACGCGTCCAAATTCCATGGTAAATTGGGGTTCTAATGTAGTAACCAGATTCATTATAAATAACATTTATGTCATGATAATCGATATGACCATCAGCTGGTTAGGTTAGCGTGTAAAAAATATGCAATAAATTGTTGGTATGGTGACCAGCCTCACAGAGCTAGCTCTATGAGGCTGGTCAACAAACCAGCAGGACAATAAGAAAATGTAAAACATGCCCCGTCAATAGGTCTCAGCGAACCTAGTTAACATAAATGGAAATATACTCCTTAGCATCACGAGGCTATTGTTAACAAAGGAGCTTAAAATTGTGTGTAACAGAATAACTTGATGAACGTGTGTATAAACGCTTTACACCACTTTATATTTGCCGTACGGATGCTAATTATGGATCGCTTCCCCTGGTTTAAAGTTCTGACTGAAGATTGATTTAAAATGGAATTTTCAACTAAAACGATAAATGAGGAAGGAATTTAAATAGGCAACTAAGAATTTGCTTCATGGGTCATGTGCTGACATGCACCCTGTTAGCGTTCACGTGCACCCTCTCAGTTTCTCATTAGATCTCATGCAGATGCAGCAGAGGTGCCGACCAGAGTAACAGGTCACTGTTAGAACAGTGATTATTGAACGTATGATAGATAACAACCGATACTACAGCGGTGGATTCAAATTTCACCTGGTCAAACCCGGGGTGGACTATTTACATTAAGCGTCCCAACGGCTCCTGACACATGGTAGAACCTGGTAAGCTCGGGAAATTGAGTCAAACTTAACCCTAATTGTCATGTCCTCCTGTATGTTTTACCTTATGAAGTTATGAAATTCACTAATGTAGTTATAGTATGGTGACACTTAAAAGCCACAAACTTTAGTTGCTCAAAGCTATCAAGATTAGGGTTGCCAATCGATATTATCGGCATTATTGGAAGGCTGCACATTTTCACATGCCAAACTCACAAGATTCTTAAGGAGTTGTGCGAGATGACGATAGATAGAGGCCGCAGAATTATGAGGACTACCAGATCCTGGTGGAACCTAAGCGATCCATGATATCACGACAGGCCCTATGTGTTGCTAAGCAAAGTGCATCTAGTGCCGAGTAGGATAAAAAGGATAAGTATGCAAATGTCAGCTAAATGAACAAAACTTTCTGCTAATGATATGAGGCTGGCTAAAGTCAATGTCTTTGTGGCACTTAGCATTACTGTGATAAAACATGACAATAAAACTCTAAAAAGCAAAGGATAATCTATATAAATCTGTCAGCTTTGGGTGAAAGTGGTGTAATTCTTCGTGGTAGTCTCAAGAGAAAGATCCGAAAACATTATGTCTTCCTTTTTACTTCTCCGTTTTAGA